AAAGTATTGACACATGCTACAGCATGTATGAACCTTGAAAACATTATGCTAAGTGGAAGAAGCCAGACACAAAAGGCCACATATAGTATGATTCCATTTATGTGAAATATACAGGTGAGCAAATCTACACAGATAGAAAGCAGATTAGTAGCTGCCACAGGCTGGGTGGAGGGGGGAATGGGGAGTGACTACTAATGGGTACAGAGGTTGTTTTTTGGGGATGGGTGAAGCAAAAATGATGAAAAATTACAATGTGGTGATGGTTACACAACTCTGTGAACTTACTAAAAAATCGAATTGTATATTTTTAATGGGTGAATTGTATGGTATGTAAATTATATCTCAATAAAGCTGTTAAAAAAAACCATTATAGCAGGTTAGTTACAGATTGTAAAACTATTTTAACACTAATCTATTTTTAATGGGTGAATTGTATGGTATGTAAATTATATCTCAATAAAGCTGTTAAAAAAAAAACATTATAGCAGGTTAGTTACAGATTGTAAAACTATTTTAACACTAACCGATGCATCTAGAGTTATATGAATCAACTTAAAATCTTCATTATCTGGTTATTAGGAATTAGGTTTAATTTAAGAACATATTACTGGTAAGAGATTGACTATATGTTGGCATAAATGTTTGTGGGCATGAAGAAACAAATTTTTAAATCAGATGCTTATAAATATTTTAGTCGTGAAAGCTTTGCTTTCCAGATAAAATCATATATCTAGAGTTTTTCAGAATCCAATTTAAAAATCACTATTATGAATTACAGAATTTCTAATTATAAATTATATGAACAGAGTGAAGAATTCTCCTTTCATGTTCAGTTTCTTCATGCATAACCTCCTTTTGTTCAAAACCCAACTTTTTAGTCTCAAAGTACTGATTCTTATGTTTATATTCCAGTCTGTTAAAATTAACAAGATTGATTTTTTTCCATTGAATAGGCTCCTTCTCATAGTGACCTAACTAATTAGAGGCATCTTTAAATAGAAAAGCGGCTGGTACAGGGATCCGAATCCTTGACTTTGGTGTTAACACTATGCTCTAACCAACTGAGCTAATCGGCCAGCTCCTGAGATCCAAATTTCTGAATCCCACTCTGGTGGGTTCCCCTTATAACATCACCCCCCTTCCTTTCTCAGAAAGTTGTAAGGAATAAACAACATGAGTGCACTTCAGAACTGTTCAGGTGTGACACACGTGAAGGAGGCTCTTGAAGTGTTCACATTATTCAGGGAAGTTGCTTTGCTCTGTGTGGCCTTGTCAATGGACACCACAGTGGAAAACGATTCTTTCCTCTATGTTACCATCAACATTTTGATGACTTTAAGAGTAAGCTCTTTGAAGGCTTTTTGTAAGCATAAGAACAAGATGACATCGTGGTTGAAGAAAAACAACAGCAACAGCAAAACACCATGAAGATTTGCAAACCAAGATGGGCTTGATTGTGACACCATGATGCTAAAACACAGCTCTCCTCTATTCCCCTTTAGACTTTCCAACCACCTTCCTCGACCTTTTTAAAAGTCCTTTTCATCTGTAGATGCACAGAGCACTTTTGACACCACAAAGAAAATTCCTTACACCGTTCATAGGCATATAAATTGTCATACACTACCAACACTAGAAATGCATATAACCTTTAACCCAATGATCATTTCGCAAGAATTTATCCTACAGCCACAACTACCACAGATGTGCAGGATGCTCTTTGCAGGGTGTTTATGATACCAGGGGATTGAAGGCAACCTAAATGCCCACCAACAGGGGTCTGATTTAATAGGTGCATCATACCCACAGCATCGAATACTATGCAGTGTTTGAAAGAATGAAGCAAATCCATGTGTACTAATATGAAACACTCAAAGATAACACTTTAACTAAAAGAAGGTGTCTTGCAGTGCATAGTGCAGCGTGCTATGATATTTATGAAAGAAAAAAGGACTGTGAAAAATATGCTTATTTTATCATACTCTTTAACTACAATCATATAAGATACATAAATTAATATAGACATGTAGTTCTGTGCATGAACTACCACTGTAAGAATATGATGGTTGACAGCAATGGTTGACTCTGGGTAAGGAATCTGGGGATGGTGAGGGGAAAACTTGTTACTCTTTATCCCTTAGTACTACTTGTAATTTTTACGATATGCCCGCATTGCTTAGTCGATGAAAATAAAATTTCCACACAACTCCAGTGGCCCCTTGAGAGCATACCCTCCGGAGTTGAAGACTCCTTTCTGCGGCTGGATGGCGGGGCGAGCAGGCTCATGGCACTGGGCTGGTGCTCAGGCGACCTCACGATGGCAGACATGGCAATCTGCTGCCTCGCAGTGGCTGGCGTAGATGGGTGTGGGTGGTCCGTGGCTTTTCGGTGGGCAGCTGCAGAGAGACCAATCCAATACCTTTTGGTTAGCTGGGTCACTAATAGGCCCAAACCAAGCGACTGCCCCTGGGCTGTCTTTCAAGGACCCACGACCAAAAGGACATGTGTTAACCGCTTAGCAGGAGGCGCCTCTGAATGCTGCTCTTATCCCTGACAGTAAAGGTGGCACCGGGAATATTGAGACCAACTGTCAATTCAGTCCTTCACTCCTTTCTCCTAGGTATCCCAAGGCATCAAGGCCTTTCCTGTAAAACTACTGCCACAGCCACCACGGTGCACGGTGGCCTTTGGAAGGAAACTGCAAGCTCCTTAGAAACCTTTCCGGAACTGAGAACACATGGCCAACCCTACTATGAGGGCTTCTGTGGTTTAAAAAAGCATGGATCAAGCTTATTAAAAGCAATCTCCCCCTGCACACCTACATATAACCCCCTCCATATAGTTTGGTTTTTGTCCATAGTATTGTTTGTTTGTTACTATTTCAAAGGGATGTTGCAGTGCTTTGTGGAGGAGTAGAGTATACACTCAAGAACCTTAGGCAGGTCACTTAGACTCGCTGGGTTCTAGTCTCTTTGTTGGCCAATCAAAAGGACTGGACCAGATCATTTCTAAGGTTCTCTCTGGAGTCCTGTATGAGTGACCTGAGAAATCCTCTACAGTCTCCTATGTATGATCTGCCATTCCCTCTGAAGCCCCATACATGTCACCTACTAAGCCCTCTACAGTCCTGTGCATGTGACCTGCTAATCTCTCTAAAGCCCTGCACACATGACCTTCAAACCCCCTTGGAGTCCTGTATGCATGACTATGTATAAACCTTTCTCTCTGCATACCATCCGTGCTATGTGGCGGTGGCAGGGGGTGGGAAGGGCAGGGATGACTCCCTTAACATAGAAAGGGAGTCCTTAAAACACTACAGTTTTAATGGGCATGAACATAAAGTAGTTTGTCAGACTTGATCAATGATATACTCATAAAAGGGCTCTTCTGCTTATCTCAAAACCTTTTTCAACCAAAAATAAAACAAGAAAACATGCATTTTGTTTTTTTCTGTGTTTCTATGACTTCCTGTCACTGTGCTGTCCACTGAATCATGAATGGTGGAGTGAAACTGTCTACTCCCACTTTTCAAACACTTTGACTCACCTTTTTCTTTTTAGCAGGTTGGTCCATTTTGGCTTGCAGAAAATCGATGAGTTTGGTTTGTTGAGAAATCGTTCCTTCCATTTTCACCTTTTCATGAGAATAAAGAACCTAAAATTCACGAAAACAAAAATAACCTGAGACCCAGAGTGAAGTATACTTTTAAATTTGGTACTTTAAGAAAATAAAAAACTAAACTTGTTAGGATAGTGGCATCTGAAAATCCAACACAAACAGCACTGACTCAATACTTATTTATTTAGTTCCAATTTTATCACAAAGAAAAAACAAAGATGTATTGATAGATGGATAGATATATGAAATAGCAAAAAAAAAAAAAGTGCAAATAGTTAATTGAGAATCCAGGTAATAGTCACTATAGAAACCTTCCAACTTCTCTGAACACTTGAAAATTTTCATAATGAAATATCGGGGAAAATATACAACACGACACAACATAAAGATACTGACCATTTCACTCACTAGTGGGCTTTTCGTCATTGGGCTTTGCCTCTGCAGACAATTTCTAAGCAGATTCTCTTTGCAGGTCCTCACCTGAATGTTTTCTAGCTGATACTCCAGATCACTTCTCTCTGTCTTCAGTAGATCAGCCCGATCCAGAGCTTCTTGCAGCCCTTGAGTCAGACGGAAAATGTGATTCTTCTGCAGGTCCATCTGCTGCTGTAATTTGGCTTGCTGGTGGGGAGAAGGGCCAGGAAAAGGCTCAATACTGTATGCAATACACCTTGTTCCCCCATTCTTCCTATTCCCAAGCTAATTTCAGGCATGGCACTAAAAGTTCAACTTCTGAAATCATCTCAATCCAGAATTACCAAATGTCATCTATTCCAAAATGATACAAGCACAGTGAAAATGAACTTCACAGATGGCCAGCAAGTCACAGGATCCCCATTGTAGCAGGAAGTCCAGGCTGCAGGGTCTGCTTTCCCAATCAAGTTACAATTGGGGTTATTTGGGTACTTAAGAGCACGAGCCATCCGCGTTGACACCCAACGCAGTGAGACTCAGTGCTGTGACAATCAAGTTCCAATGTGTCCCTACTTTTGGTTTTCAAGATTTCAACTGTTAGGAGAAGTCACTCTGTGCAGGCAGTTTGGAGTAAACAAGGAGGAATCCTAGCCTCCCTCACTTAACGAGCACCCCCTCAGGGTTAGGGACCCCAAAACATACATACATAGCCACCATCACAGGAGATATTTCTACCACGTGGGAGAAAGGAAGAGGAGGACCCCAGATATAGTACAAGTCAGTAAAACCCAGAAAAAAAGATTCAATTTAATATATTGGAAATAGTTTTGTGCCGAAAATCTCTCTCCAATTTTAATAATGGAAGTCAACCAGAGAATAGAACAGGCTATAATGACACTCTTTCCTAAAAGGAAAGGTTTAATGGCACTCTTTCCTAAAACGTGTCTGTTTCTAAAAAGCAGGAGAGAGCAGCCATCCTGATGAGATGCGGCTTGATTTTATCCAGCCCCCAGCTTACAGTCTAACTACTCTTACTGGGGGCCAAACAGTCTCTCCCCTCTCCAGTCTTAGGGAAGAGAGCTACTAAATACACGTGGCCACAGGCATTTTCAAACCGCTCATAGTGGATCCCAAAGCCTCCACCCCAGAGGCTGAGAGCCTCTGGTAACATCAGAATTTCCTGGTCCTCCCAATCTTACTTTGCTTCTCTTCACCTGTTTTTCTTTCCATTTTTACTCTTTACCTGCCCTTCCTCTTGACAAGTAGCTATTCCCTGAGTCGTCATGGTGTAGTAGAAAGAACGCGGACTTTGGAATCTTATAGACCCTGGTTTAAATCCTGACTTTCACACTTATGGGCGATATGACCATGGGCAGCTCATATTGTCTCTCAGAGCCTCAGTTTCCTCATTTGAAAGTGGGTGTAACACCTTGCCTCACTGGACAACCCACTGAACACAGTGCCCTGCACTGTGCATAATGAATCTTAGTACCCTCCATCTCCTTCATCCTTCCTCCCTCCGTCCAGTTCAGGGGTTCTCCCTCACTTTCCCATCTGCCTTTCCCCCACCAGTCTTGTCATAACGCGAGAGATACTGTTACTAACTAAAGGTCACTTGGCCTGTGTGCATAACCTGGGATTTCTGAATCAAATCACACAACCCACTCAAACAAAGGAAAAAAAGAAAGAAAAGAAAACAGCTCAGATACTCTCTTAAAGGGAGATCAGTCCCCTGCAGCACAAGTTATTTCTTCCACAAATTACCCTCTTTAGTTTCCTACCACTACTTTAGGACGTAAATTACTAGACAGGAATCAGAGAAAAAAGTGCAGGGGACAAGAATCTGGTTGGTGATAGGTAAGCCCAAAATATTTTTCTGGAATAAACACATCAACTGTCCATTAGCTTTCCAAGTATAGACTGGTTATTTACTACGATAAAAAGCAAGTAAGAGTGACATTTGCACTCTATGAAATGTTTTTCAAAACCATTTTCCTGCTTCCCAGAGAGAGGCAAATGGAGGTGTATTCATGGGTCACTGTTAGACTGAAAGAAGGGCCTTAGCTGCATGCTTAGACTTGTCCAACAGTTTTACGAGGGTGATAGGACACTGGGAGGAGGAAGGAAGGAGTTGGGCAGGTGGTGACTTAAATGGTGTGAAAAAACTACCCAAAGACATTTACAGAGCTCAGCATGGAGGTAGAAATGTTCCCAAGTATTTGGTGCTATTCAGACTACATGGACTTCTAGAATCTCTCTTTGGAAAGTTAAGTCAACTAGAAAAGAATATCCAAAGCTTGGAGGGATGTGAAATGTTTCACTTAGATAAGAGAAGACCATTTGGAGTGGGAGAGCTATCTGGATATCTAATCAACTGTCATTGAGATAATAAAAGTAGTTATTTCATAGGATTGTTGCAAGGACAGTATGAATTAATTCATAAAGTATTCAGAAAGGCCCCTGGCACATAGTAAGTGCTAATTAAATATTAGTTATTTTGATTATTAATTAAGTAATTTGATTATTAACTTCTGATTTTGGTTGGAGATATCAAACTACTCTCTAATTTCATGTTTCAATGTAATAGAATCAATGGGTGGAAGTTGTAGATTTTAGTTCAAAATAAGAAAGGACTTTCTAAGAATTAGAGTAGCTGAAAAATGGGTTGGAATGTCCAAAGTCACTGTAAGTATTTAAGCCAAGGTTCAATGAAGCCCACTTATGAGGATTGTTGAGGAAGTGATTCTTTTTGCCTTAGAGAGGACATGAATTTGACCAGGATTAGCAAAAGGACTTCCATCTCTGGTGCTACTCACAATGGACTGATAGTGCCTATGAAGTATCATATCCAGAAAACTTCTGTGGCCATTTCGGGCCCAAGAGGAAAGATTTAGGAGAAAGATCCATGAGCAGCTTGTCAGGCGCAGGGATAGAGGGATTAGTGCTGGGAATTTGGAGTAGATGACAAAAGTTCCTTGCAATCCTGAGACTCTGATTCTGGCCCCATTTAAAAGTATCTGTTCCTATGAAGAGGACACTTAGGTGAGACCCTGGGCACATGCTTATAAAACAGACACTACAACCAAAGGGCCCTACCACATTTTGGACAAGAAAGATCATTCCTGTTTTATAATGGTTTCAACTGTCTACGAAATCTGCCTCTAACTCAATGTCTGCCAGATGTCTGCACTCAAAAATCTATCTGTGAGGTACAGACTGGGAAACTGGGAAATTGGCAATGTTCTCATGTAGGTTAGAAGTGAGAACGAGGGGACTGAATCAGGATTCCAGCATCTATTCCTAGCATTGTCACTGACTCACCATTTTAACCTTGGACCAAAGTGTTGAGCTGTCAGGGCCAGCTCGCCCTCCTCAGAAGGAAAATAGGACAGGCAAGAGCACTGATTATTTCTGTTCTTCTGTTCTCAGCATGTGCCTAAAGTGGGAACCCTGCCTGTTCATCCCAGATAAAAGACCATCATTCTCTATGGGACCACCAGGTATATTTATATTTTCTATTATAGTATTCTTAGGGCCATTTGGTGAAAAATACACACACACACACAAAGTACATTTATATTGTTGTGCAACCATTACCACCATCCATCTCCAGAACGTTACCAAACTCCCATCCATATTTCTTAAAGTATCATCCTATAAAATATTTCACACTCACCTGCAAAATTTTCACTATACTTTTCAAACTTAAACATTAGCAATATTATTTCTATCCACAGAGCACCTCAGGAGCTATGAGTATCATGTGACAAAATTTCAATTAACAGAACAGGGGGGCCGACCCCGTGGCTCACTCGGGTGAGTGCGGCACTGGGAGTGCCGAGGCCGCGGGTTCGGATCCTATATAGGGATGGCCAGTGCACTCACTGGCTGAGCGCAGTGCAGACGACACCAAGCCAAGGGTTACGATCCCCTTACTGGACACAAAAAAAAAAAAAGAAAAAAAAAAGAAAATAGAACAGGGAACTTTTTTTTAACTGAACTGTCAGGCTTAGTATGGGTTAAACAGAACACTCTTCGGAGTCCAATTTTTTGTTAGATATCTGTACAAAGTGCAGTTTTCCTTGAGGTCAATTCTTACGAACAAAGCAGAATCATGAGTGATTCAACATATAGGGCTTTGGCTGGGAGTGGGAGGTAGCCGTCAATCTAAACAAATTTTCAGAGTTCTGTGAAAAGGTACAGGAAATAACATAAGGGATGAGTTTAGGAGATCAATTTGAGCTTGTCATTTTATGTCTCAAAAGCAGGGCACAATTTTTTTTAACTGAATTAAGTGAATTTTCAAAAGACTTCATGAAATTTGGTATTCAGCATAATCTGATTAAATCTCTGCCCTGTGCAGGAAGCTCATTTGCATGGATGTCCTATCAGTATGAAACTTAATACACTTACGATATTAAGCCTAAAGAACAATTTAACTCAATATTTATTCACTCTTTTATTTAATAAACCTCTGTTTAGACATACTTACTATGTGCTTGACACCCTATTAAGCACTGTGTAGGAAGATACAAATGACAGAGAGACCTCTGGCCTTCAGGACATATTCTTTTAATGTACTAAATATTTTAAAGAAAGTATTATGTGACTGCCTTCTGAATGTCTAATTTGGATCTGACCACATAAACATAAACAGATTTCCACTTTCAAAATTCCACCTGGCTCTATTTCCCAGGTGTTTGACACTCACCTCTTCCAGAAGCCTTTGTTTGAGCTCTCGTTCAGTCTCCAGTTTCTGCTGTAAGCTTCGGGCATTCATTTCAAGCATGGCATGCTTCTTCTCCAGGTCATTGAGCTGGACATTTAGAAAAATTGGCCATGAGGCCACATTGAGGAATGTTGGATGCTAATGACTTTTATAAATGTCCACAAACCTTCACATATAAAGAATAATCAAGTTCTAAAGGTCAGAACATAGATGTTGTTTTTTAAAAACAAAAGTCCATGTCATAGGTAAGTCTTCCACAGGTTATTATATGAGGATAGGAATTATTTCTTAGGGATGGGTCATATATATAGCTGTGACAAGTTCCAGGAGGATGACTGCTCAACAGTTTACTTATCTGACATGCTTTGGCTGAATTTAATTAAATAATTATGGGCTGAATGCTTTCTACTTTGCACAGCAGTACAGCTTTCAGGATGAGAGGACGGCCAAGCTCTCTCAAGGATCTTAATCAAGTCAGAAAAGCAGAGGGTAACCCATGATTAGACAAGTACACAAATAATGGCTGCTTTGTCAGATGATGTTGATAAGAGATGTATGGAAAAGAAAATTCATCCTGATTAAGAGAAGATCAAGAAAAAATGGAATCAGAATGTCTGGAGCTTTAAAGAATAAGTAGGACTTTGCTATTGAATACTTTAAGAACAGTCAACTAGAAAAAAAATATTCTCCAAGTTCAACATAAAAGGGTTCATTTATCTTTAAATAAAAAATTTACTTTCCTCACGCTTAAAAAAAATGGTAAGCCAGTATCAGGGAACTCAGGAGTGTTCCTGAGTGATGAACTCTAGCTTTGAAACCAATAATTCTGTTTCTGTAAGTTTCTGGTAAGAAAACATTCATGGATATCCCTAAAAATGTATGTTCATCACAGTGTTATTCATATGACAAAATACTGAAAGAAGCCCAAACTTCCAATATCAATGGAATGATTGAAATAGGTTCCTCCATGCAATTTATTTATGTACATTTTTTTGGAATTACATGTTCAAAAAATATTCAATAACTCAAGAAAATCCTCTCATCATATGATGTTTTTTAAAAAAATGATGTAAAGCTGTATATATATAGTAAGAACCTAAATTTATAAAAATATATATGGTTATATGTGTATGCATAAACACAAGCAAAGAAGAGATTGCAAATACTTTCACCAGTATAACAGTGATAGGTTACCACCATTTTTTCCTTTACTTTTCTGCGATTTCTATATTTTCCATGATGTCCCCAAATAATTAATTTTATAATCAGGAAATAACAAAGCTATAGAAAATACAAAATCAGATTGTTTATTCTGTGTGTGTGTGAGAGAGAGAGAGAGAGAGAGAGAAAGACTGAGTTTGTGTGAGTCTGTGTGTGTACACACAAAATTTCTCTGATCTTCACTTTTGTTATCTATAACATTAAAGCACCTATTCTACATCTCTTTCAAGACTTAGATAAAATCTCCAAAACACTGGTACATCACTTTGTAAATATAATAGGGAGTGGTAGATAGACAAGACATATGTGTTTCCAGTGTGAAATACCGAGGAAACGTATGTTTCCTCAGTCTTGTCGTGTCCCTGAACTAGGAGCATGGAGAAGCTGGACACTACTACTGCAGCCATGGAATGAGCATTAGTCATTTCCACAAAGCACTGCCCAAGGATCCTCAACATTAAGTCCACAAAGCCTTCTAGAAATAAGATGCCAGAAAATGAGAGTTATGCGCCCAGATAAAAATTCAGGTAAAAAGTCACTGACTGACGATAATAACCCAGTACTCACCACACCTACCCACACTATTACCAACCAAAGATGTGCCACAATGAAGCATAAACATGTGATATTTCTGGAGTAAGTGAATGTATGCTTATGAAATACGTTTACCACGGATTGCATTTCAATTTGTGTCCAGCTTGACTTTGAAAAAAGGAAACAAAAATGTTTTCCTAAAAGGTAGAAGGGACGGGCGCTGACCTTGTCGGAGAGGCTCTCAGCTTTCAGCTTCTGTTCTTTGAGAGCCTGCTGCAGAGCAAGAATCTCAGCCTTGTGCTCCTTCACTGCCAGTTCCACCACCTGGCGAGACTCAGTGATCCGCTGATCGGCTCTTGCCCTGCCAGAAAAACACAGGCCTGCTTTCAGAAGCCCCACCATCACCAATCTTGGGAAAGGAAGCCCATCTATAACCCTGATAAGCAACTAAACAGGCTGTGGGTCAGAGAGACGCCCAACCCTGATTCCTAGCTCCAAATTATGTCTTCTTTTCTAACAGCTTTGTGAGCAAAAATTTGACCCAGTTTAGGCCTTGGGTAAAAAATACCCTTAAAAGGTAAAGTTCCTATGAGTACTTACTTGGAAAGGTTGAAGGAGAAAAGGCATTTCCAAATGCAACTGAGCTGAATATGATGTGAAGATGTCACACCCTCCCATGGCAGTGGAAATGCAAGGAGACCCTGCTGAGGGACCACAGGGTACGGAGGATCTCACTCAAGCAAACACGTGCTCTCCTTAAAGCATATGCAAGGAATTGCGTCTTTTGGATGCTCACCAGGAAACTAAAACTTGAATCTCATGAATGTACCTATAAATAGCACTAAAGACTACAAAAAACAGAAGCAAACTAGAAAAATCACTTTCCTTCCCCCATTTAAGTACTATGTTTTCCTACTTCAACACTTTGGCTAGTACAATCTCCTCCACCGGCAATATTCTCCATTCTTATTCTACAAACTCAAATCTTACTCTGCCATCAAGGATAAACTCAAAGTCTATGTCTTCTATAAAACCTTTCCCAATTTCTCTACTTAGAAGTAACCTCTCCTTGTTCTGTATCCAAACCATAAAGGAATTTCTCTCCCAGCAAACTTCACTCTCTCTCTCTTCAGTGTTAAGTACTTGAATGCATAGTTATCTCCTCCCCAGACTCTTAGCACCTTGAGGACAAGGATTAAGAATTATATTTTACTCATCACGGTATCCCATATAATGCCAAAAAAAAGAAAGAAAAAAGAAAAGAAAGCCAACATCTGTCACAATTTCCCTAAAAGTAGATATGAAATGAAAGTAGACTAATGCTAGTCTTCCTAAGAATAGTCCATAATTATACCTTCCATGTGTGGTTGTGTATTTACTGATGTTGAAGCCAAATCCAACCTGCAAAATTATCTCTGAAGGACCTAGAAACAGCTAGGATAGGAGCTGGACTTGAAAAGTGAGAGAGAAGGGGTCCAGGTGAGAACAACACATTCATCCACCACATTTATTTGAGTCTAATATGGGCAAGTACATGGAGACACCAAAACGAGTGTTATACAGTCCAATTAAGTGATAAATATTTCTGTGCATGGTTTATATCACTTAAGAAGTTCAGAGAATCCCAGGAAGATAAGTTTCAGAGGAAGGTGATGTTAGTTATGAAGGAAGAATGCAATTCAGTTGTGTGGACAAGAAGGCACCAAGCTAACACTCCCCCATATTGCACCTTTGTGCAAACTGGAAAAAGGCACCCGTTCTTCAAGACCATTTCTTTCCATCTGTAAGCTGTCACCACATACCAGTTTTGTTAGAACAAAACACTTTCCTGCCGTGAGCTGTAAAAATTTTCATAATAACTCTTCAAACTGATGACATTTTCAACGTGACCGGCATTCTCTAGAGCTATGCAGTACACAACCTGCACTATTGTGGTCCAAGCAGGAAGGAATTCTATGCCAGGAGAACCATGGAAGCCAAAATGGGAAAACAGGGAAGATACTGCTTGAATTTGTTATTACCATTTCCTACCAAGAAAGAAAAAAACACACTATAGAGCAGTGGTTCACATCTGGGGGCCATTTTGCCCCCAAGAGGACACTGGCAATATCTAGGGACAGTTTTGGTTACCACAACTTGGGAAGGGAGTTGCTACTGGCATCTAGTGGGTAGAGACTAAGGGTGGCTTACAACACACAGGACAGCTCCCCACAACAAATTGTTTAGCCCAAAATGTCAATAGTGCAAAGGTTAAGGAACTCTGGTGTAGAGACAAGACTAGCATTACATGTGATCAGGATTATAACGGTGATGGGGGCTGGCCGGTTAGCTCAGTTGACTAGAGTGCAGTGTCAAGGGTTTGGATTCCCTTACCAGCCAACTGCCAGAAAAATAAATAAATAAATAAATTTTAAAAAATGGTGATCGTCTTGCTACATGGTCGCAAAGATAAGAAACCTGATGAAAGTAAGTGTTTCTGCAAAGAAAACATTAAGATATTTGCCCTGACTCTGAGGCCTCTGCACAGGGTAAATGAATACCAGCTACTGCCACAGAATCCAAATGACACTGTCCTAATTCACAACTAGGATGACCAACCCACCCTGGTTTGCCCAAGAGTCTCCTAGTTTTAGCACTGAAAATCTTGTATCCCAGGAAACTTCTTAGTCCTAGGCAAGATGGGACAGTTGGTCACCCTGCCCACAACTCTCAGGTGGATCCTACTGAGGTCACCTGTCATTGGCTTTCTACAAACAAAGTCCCACCTGCTCTGCTTCTCAGTGTCCAGCATCCTCTGTAACTCTCGAACCCGACATTCAAACTGGGATTTCTCATCACCGAGGACGCTCCTCCAAGCTTCCCACTGCCGCTCTTTTTCCAGCAGCTCATCGTTGAGGGCCTCCAAGTCCATGACCTGTTCTTCCAACATTGTGCAAGTGGTCTTCAGAGCCTCCATCGTCTGCAAATCAGTAGCACTGAGTTGTGCCTTGTATCAAACGAGGATTTCCTGGAGGTTACTTTTGTCAGATCAGTTTCAGGAAAGCACAAGTTTCTAACTACAGTCTGAAACATAGTTTATCTTTGTCTCCTACAGCCCAAGGGGACTGGACAAGAATGGATAAAGGGCCATTTGTGCCACCATCTTACAGGCAGAACCCAAAGAAGAACAAGAGGGAAGTGACCAAGCTTAAAAATCAAGTGGCTCCCATTGGCCTCCTAAAGCATTAGCTTTTATTTTTAACTTTTAAGATCAAAATTAAGAACTACACACTTTTAAATGCCATTTTTAAACCCCCCTAGGCTTGGAATCAAGACATGATTGTAAAAAGAGGCTGTTCACTGGACAAGGCTGTCTTGGGGCTCTGGGAAGAACACAGCAGGCAGGCACTCCTTCTAAAATCCTTCTAAAAGTCCTCCAGGGATCTCCTAACCACATGTGCCCTCCTTACTTGCTTCTGGCTGGTAAGCTGCATCTCTCGCTCTGTGATCTCACGGCGGAGATGGTCCACTTCACTTCGCAGCTGTACTATCTCATCGTTGGCGCCCGAAGCCTCATCGAGTTGTTTAGACAAGTAGAAGTTTTGGTTGTTGAGTTCAGCATTGTCCTCGGTCAGCTGGTTTAGCTGCTCCTCCAGGTCTGTGATTACCTAAGAGAGGAAAGGAACCCAGTTATACACCCTGTAGGTTCATTTTAAACAAGAACTTGCTTCTAGAGCCACTGGTTTTGGGACCTATGTGACACTGGCTTTCCAACCTTGACAGCCAAAGCCAAGCTCCCATGCCCAGCCACTTAGCTGTAACACACATGTGCAGTGGAGTGGGAAAGAAAATACCTACTTTCTCTCTAACTCAGGATACATCAAAAAAAAAAAAAATGGCCAAAGCAAATTAACCAAAAGTGACTGCTGTATGGAACGAGGCAACTTGGAATAAGATCAAATTAACAGACAATAATATAATATGGAAAACATAAACTGGGAAAGGAGGAATAATTGTTTGGTATCACAATCAGCTAATTAAGCTAAAAAATGCCCATGACACTATCTACATAGGACATTATAATTGGAGACGGCCAAGTCATAGAAAGCAAAATAAAGTTCCTAACAAGGAAGACTGATGATGAAGGACACTAAGAGTTACTTTCGTAATATCACAGGCAATAAACTTAATTTCATGCAACCAAGGAAAAGAAACTTAAAGGAAGCTTAGGATAACCCTAAAAATATAATATTGTTCTACAGCATCACTTTAATGGATTTTAATATACAGTTAGCTATCAGAAAATGGGAAAGCACATATAAGACATTATCATTTTTTGAGAGAGATCTAATCTGATTTTGTTTAATTATTTCCCTGCTCAATGGCAGAATGACTTCAATTTCAGTGCATTTAGCTTTCCTATTCTCTTTGCCAAGGTTTAGTATTAGTGCTTGCAGAGAGCTTTTATATACAATACTTTAGAAGTTTAAGGGCAATTTTCTAATAATAGTTGGAATGAGGCACACAGGCAGTAAATTAAATTTTATGTAAAAAAAAAAAAAGGAAGAAAATTAAAAGGAAATACACTTAAGCCTACAGTTATTAATTGTTTCCAATTTCTAAACCTAAAATAGACTTAGTTTATGAAATGTTGCCATTGTTTCCATGACTAATTCCCTATTTTAACACTCTTTGATTATCAACTAAAAAAATAAATCTTCCCAGGCACCTAGTTTTAAAAATTTGTTCAATGTGGCTCAGAAAACACAACTTTTCATTTTGTTAACTGAGCTGATAACCTTTTAATGTAATAGTGTACTGGCCTAGTAATCTGTTTTCAATGTCAAAAGCCATGTTAATTCCTAATATATTGATTTGAGGTACACTGTCAGCTACAAGACAGGGAATAAAGGTTATCTGGTCAGGTTCTTAGTTAAGACACCTTCTTTATCTGGGAAAAAATAGGGAAAAACTGCACATTTATCATTCTTAGCAGGCAGTTATGCCTCACAGGGTCCCTGTATCACCGTTTCTGTGGCATGGTTAAATCTCCTAAAATCAGAAACAATAAATAATGTCCATTAGTTCAACTACTCTCCTTCCTATATGTAGTAAATGAAAAGTATCTTAAGGAATCTGATTTGGGGAGAAAAAGAAGCAGTGGCAGAAATGGGCTCATAATAACTGCATTTTTTTTCATGAATCAAAAAAAAGAGGTGGGTATGCCCAAAAGCTTACATATATCTTCGAATGGCACTGCTTCTTTTTCTCCCAAAATCCATTCCTTAAGATAATTTTCATCCTAGACTGTAAATGTCTCCATTTAACTATTATGCTTTCTTTTACTTCTCTCCCAAAGAAAAACAATAAGACTGAGCAAACTGGCCTGGAAGATATGCTATAAAATGGATTCTGGAAAACCAAGAAAGCCATCTTGAACTTTGCTGGGTTGGTGTCTCCATCTGTGACATGCAAGTAAATATTATATTTACTCATGTGTTTTTTGTTTTGTTTTGTTTTGTTTTTTGTCTTTTTTGTCTTTTTCCGTGTCCGGCAACGGATCGGCATAACTTCGTATAGCATACATTATACGAAGTTATACGAGGGATCCGAACCCTCGGGCGGGAGCGCCGCCACGCTTCCCAAGCAGCGCACTATCCAGTGTGCCACCGGGCCGGCCCGTTTTTATTTTTTTAATTTTTTTACTTTTCTTGCATACTATTCAACCTTAATGTATCATGTGAAATATAAAAAATGAAAATTAATGACCAAGATAATGTCATTATCTTTCGTTTCTTTTTGGCTTTCATTTTTAAAACCTCTTGGGGAGCAAAAAGACTATAGAAAATCTATTCACTTAAGAATACATACATTGCCAAAATAATTAACTTGCCATTCAAAGATAAATGTATGCCTTTGGGTATACCCACCTCCTTTCTTTGATTTGTGGGGGTAAAAAAAATGAACTTATTATGAGCCCATTTCTGCCACTGCTTCTTTTTCTCCCAAAATCAGATTATAAAGTGCTGAAGAAGAAACACTTGAAAAAAGCCAATCAGGTGTCAAGGTTATTTCCCTCACATCAATTGAGATGGGCCCATCAGAATAAGAAAGGTCCTGCTACTTCTCTGTTGTCATCCAGTTTTTAAGGGGTCTCATGTCTCTGATCTATTTCCAGTGTGTGATTGTTGGTTCTATATTTGGTCATCATCTCTACTTTGCCCATTTGACAAAAGAAGGATTATGTGTTTGTGTGAAGCACCCATGCAGGAACTTAAAGCATTTTAACTCATTTAGACTTTGTATATATTCTGTCTGCCCAAGCCATAACATGTTTAGCTTATGACCCTGTTTTAAGTTACTGGAGTGTGGTTAAGTTTACACACATTCATATACATGCAATATTGAGTTTACAGATATTAAACTGACTTGAGATACAGACAGTATATTAATGGCCTCCATGGTAAAACAAAATGTATAATTATAGGCTACGATGTATAACGTGTCTTCACAACCTTTGAGGTAGATATTATTTTACTCTCATTTCATAGAATGGGTAATCGGGGCATCAGGAAGGCAACAAAACTTACCCAAGGTCATGCTGCTGGTAAATTACGAAGCCAGAATTTGAACCCAGCACTGAAGCTCAAGAATCTATTCTCTTACCCCCTACACTATACTGCCCCTCTAAAATAGAGAGAGAATTAATTATTGAACATTTTTTTTTCAGATCCTCAAAACCCAAAATGGTGGAGTAAGATATATTGACCATTTGGAATAATCCTTCCTGATTTTGAACCAGGTGATCTGCAAGGAGAATTCTTAGGTCTACTTTTTGGCCATGGGTTTATTCTCACCACCGCAAGGGCAAATGATCTACTTACTATGAGTCTGTTAACCTTTCAAAACCGAGGGTAGAGGGCAAAAAAGAAACAGAAAGGCTGATTCCATCTTAGCAGTAAAAAAGATAAGGGATATAGCTTCATAAAACAGGGGCCAGCAGAACTTTCTTATATGCTGTTTTTGCTGATAAGAGATCTCGGTGCACTTCTAAGAGAAAACAGGGATATAAAAAATGATCTACTGTCAGTGTCAAGGGGGAAAAAAAGGTCTCCATTTGAGGTTATCTGTTGGTTTTCAAGGGTGTCATGCAAACCTCACGGTTCTGAGAAGTAGATGTTAACCTCTCATACCTAACTGGGAGACCAATAAAGGAAAGTTACCAGGTAAATGTCCAATGGAATCTCAGGAGTGAAGAAACCATTCAGATAACAAGCACCAGGCTAAAAAGACACAGGACTGAAATCCTATTTTAATGACTAGTTCTTTCCTGAAGGCAGCTATTTGCATATTATTTATTTTTAATCTTATAGCTGACAGATTGATTCATAATTAAAACTGTGTCATATGTTTGCCCACCAACTCCCCTCTAAAACAGACTTAGGTAGGGTTTTAGGTGCCAGATTGAATCCAATCCCTTTTTAAATCTCTTCAAAATATAGAAATGGTCTGAGCTTGAAAATCTCACTGTTCATGCGCTTTTTTGAAAGCTGCTAACTGGGAGCTCCGGTCAATTGAGTTATTATGGGAGTTCCCACCAGCAACGAAGATGACACTTCCTAGCTGAGACAATCTGGGACAGTCCCAAAAGAAAGGAACTTCCATCACACTCTTCTGAAGTATCTTTAAAGTAGCCTTGAACTTACAAAAGTGTGACTGAGACCTACTATTATTGCCAAATGTTGTTCTAAAGCAGTGGTTTTCAAACCTTTAAAGTAGCAGAGGCATATTCCAAACAAAAGATTATAAACCCAATATAATAAAATAAAAATAGTAACCAATGCTGTTTAGTACTTTCTATAGACCAGGCCCTGTGCAAGCATTTTGCATGTATCCTCTCATTTAACTCTTGCAGGAACCCCATGAGAGAGATATTATTACAAAATTCTATGACTCAGTGTTTCTTTAAAAATTTTACTGTTTCTCAAATTACAACTAAGCAGCTATCTCTCTTCCTTCACCCAGCACCCAAAGAGCAGTTATTAAACTAACCATGTATCATACAATCAACGTTGTATTGGAATTGAAGATGTACAACATCATTCCCATTTTACAGACAAAGAAACAAAGGCTTAAGAGGATAATATCACATAGGTTACTAAGAGGCCAGTTTATAATCTGAACTCAGTCTGTCTGACTCCATGAGCCCATGGCTTAACCACAAAACTACTCAGCTGCTCTAGCTCAGTGGGGGTCACTTTCTTCAGTTCCCCCTCTCACTTTGGGAAGGCCCCCAGAGTCCTCTCCACAGAACACCACAGGCAAATGAAGCAAGGATTAGAAGTCACTATTCCTGAAAAAGCAAATGCGGAGAGTATAAAACTTACATAAATTAAGAAAGTAACCAAATTTGTTCTATATATTGGCATTTTCCACTAAAACTAAACTTCCAACTTTAAAAATATGGGCAGGGTGGACTGCCAAGGGGCACAAGGAAACTTTTGAGGGTGGTGGATATGTTCATTATTTTGATTGTTTTGCTAATTTCACAGGTACATACATATTTTAAAACTTACCAGGTTTAGCACACCAATTATACCTCAATAAAGCTATAAAAAATGTTTTCGAAAAAGTTCTGATGCCAAAAGACTAAAAAAGGAGAAAAAAGAACTCCAGATGAATGGAACAAGATTACTTAATGTACGCATTTAAACATCCAAGTTTATTTAAGAAAAAAATAGTAATATAAAAAACACAGTCATAAAATGATCTATATTTAACTTAGTGATCATTCATGAGCACATATGTAATATAAGCAAATAATTCTTGTGTAAAACAAGAAACCAAGACAACAAGAAATTAAAAAGCTAGGGCAGAAGAATCCAGGAACAGAATCCACCAACTCCTCACAGAAGGGAGGAGAGATAGAGGAAATCATCAGACATTTTGAAGCAGGCCCTTCCCCATCCAACCATCACATCAGGAAATACAGACCAAAACTTGGTCTGCCAGGTCCCTGCTAGAGCCAAACAGAAGTACATCTCATGACCTAGCAATTCCACTCTTGGGTTTATGCTCACCAGAAGTAAAGGCTTAGGGCCACTCAAGGGTTTTTCCAAGAATGTTTCCTAACAGCTTTATTCGCCATAGAAACAATCCAAATGTCCATCAACAGCAGCATGAAAAAACAAACTACTATTCCATTCATAGATGGGAAACACTATACAGTAATGAAAAATAACAAATTATTGGCAGATGCAACAATATGGAGGAACCTCACAGACAATTTAAGTTAAAAAAAAAAAAAGCTAAACTCAAAAGAGCACATCCTCTGTGATTCCATTTATATTAAGATGAAGAACTGACAAAACTAACTGATGATATCAGAGGTCAGAATAGTGGTTACCCTTCGGACAAAGGATACTGATGAGAAGGGGACATGAGGGAGCTTTCTGGGGGCTGAAAACATTCTGCATCTTGATCTATGATGTCGTTATATAATTGTCTATCATATAAACATTTCATTGAGCTGCATACTTAAGATTAGTACACTTCATGCACTTTACTACATGCATTTTATTCCTATTTTAAGGGGAAAAAACATATACTGTTAGGACTTAATTTTCCATTTGTAGAGCTAAGGAGGAAATAAAGAGCTTATTACAAGAAAATAAAATATGTATAGGGAGAGAATGTTTCTGGAAATTTACAAATGCAAACAATACAAACAAGGACAAGATCACTGAGGTCTGACTAAGAAGGTAATAAAGCAATGGAAAGACCAAAAAGAAAGAGACGAAACCATAAATAAGAATAATAATCCCATCTTCTGAAAGGGGACTTTTTCAGTTCTTCGTTCTGATCAAAAATAGACTTTGAGTTTCTATTCACCCTACCCTATTATATAACCTATGAATGATGCTTATCTGCTCATAGAATTTACTTCTCTCGATATAAATAACATCACCTCAAGAGTCCTAGATTTTGAATTTGCATGTTAGGAAGCCAGATTTGCCTCTTAGGAAGTTAAAGTTTTTAAGTCCATGGGAGAAGAAGTAATTGGTCTTTCCCCTCTGCAGAGGCAGCAGGCTGGAGAAGCCTCAGAGACACAACTGTCCCCAGTGTCTGGACAGTCTCTGGCCCGGGCTGGCCATGGAACATTCCACATTGGGGAAGGAGGAGGAGCTGACTTGGAATCTTTGTTACAGCTATTGATCTGTGATTCTGCAGTAAGAATTATATTGACCATCTTAACTATCTTCCTCCCCTAAACATAAAGAATGGTTTGATTTTTTAAAACTAGAAGAACCCTGAAAAATAAGTTATCTAGGGCTCAAAAAACTCCAAATGAGTTTGATCATATTATTTGCCTCAAGCTGCAAGCTCACATCAAAAACAGTCACTGATATTATAAAGAGATGTCCACTTTTCCTTCTCTGTTTTAGTTTCATGCTATTTTAATCATCTTTGGTCAATTAATACTCACAGTACAGCTGTTACGAAGGGCATCGAATTTGCGCTGGATTTCATCTCTATGTGCCTAAAAGGTAAGAAGTTGATTATAAATTTTTCATGAGGTAGAATACAATTCTACATGTTATGGGTCAAATACAGATATTGCAATTTGCCTGGAAAGGCAAGAATGCTGTTGCAGCAGCCCCAGCATCAGAAATAAGTTACACGAATATGCAATGCTGTGTTAATAACAATTAACTATTTAAACAACACGTGCGCATCCTATACAAGTATCTTTAACATCCATATTAATCCCTAGAAACTACTGGGAGAAAAGGGAGGAAAAAGAGCAATAAAGGATGAAGTTCTTATTCCCCTTCATTTTCTTATTCCCCATTCTGAAAGATAAGGAACCTTCCCTCTTCCCTCCAACCAACCCCTCCCAGCCTACTCCCTGACACACACACACACACACACACACAAACACACAAACATGAACACACATACAGGACAATAGTCATGACAAAGAAGGGACTGTTTGTGTGTATGTGTGTTTTTAATCAAAAGCTGCTAACATTCAGAAAACCCTACACTGACCTTGAATATTAAATATTCAGTCTTTCTCTGAGGCACAGCTGCCCTAAAACAGCAGCATTCATTCTGTTGACAAGGATTTTTTTGACTGCATACTGTATGCCTGACACTGGGAAAGGATATAGGCATATATGGCCTTTATTCTGTTGAGAGAAGATAAAAAAATAAGTAAGCACATGATTACAGACTGGGGCAAATGCTATGAAGGAACAAATAGCAACCAGTAAAAAAGAATAAAGGGGATAGATAGGAAGAGGGAGTGGTCAAGGAGGGGTTCTCTGAAGAGGTGACATTTAAACTAAAACCTACAGGTTGAGGAGCCAGCCATGCAAAGAACAGGAGAGGGCAGAAGGAACAGCATTTGCAAAGAACCTGAGGTAAAAAAAAAAAAAAGGGGGTTTGGTGCATTTGATGAACAAAAAAAAGAGCTGACTGGCTAGAGCAGAGTTTTTCAAACTTCAAGCTGTGGCCCAATAGCAAGCATGACAAGAGGGTTTTTTTTGCTTTGTTTTATCTAATGAAATAGAATAAACAGAATAGAATAGAAAACAACACAATGTGTCTTGGGTAGTAAAGGCGAGCACTGTTGTAGGAATCTTTTTTTCAGATACCATAATTCATCAAGTTTAAGTTGCTATCAATTGTAAAACTTATCCCTATCTTATGAAACATTAAGAAAGAAAAAGTGCTGTCAAACTATAACATGTTTATGTCTACATATGACTATACAATGCATCCTGATTTCAGATACCTTAGAAGCAATGAAATACAGTATATATACTCCCTTGTATTAGATTGCAAGTAAAATGTATTCTTCTTCTTCTTCTATGGGTTGTGGTCAATTTTTGAAAAAGCACAACAAGAGAGGAAGAAAAGCAGCCCAAGATGATGATAGAGAGGCAGACTGAGACCAGGAATCTTGAAGATCCAACAAGGACTTTGGGTTTCATTCAAAATGCAATTAATTGAAAACCAACAGGCGGTTTAAGAAAGAGAGTGATACGATCTAATTGTTGTTTTAAGATCATTGTAGATGCTGTAGGAAGAACAGATCAAAACAGAACAAAGGTATAAAGAAACAGGGAAACCACTGAGGAGGATGTTGCTGTCATTCAAGCAAGAGATGATGGTGGCTTGGAGTAGGATGATGACAAAAAAACAGAGAGAAGTGGATAGAACTGAGATCTCTTTTGAAAGTACAAATATAAGGACTTGCTGATGGGTGTGGGGGCCAAGGGAAAAAAGGAGTCATAGATACCCTAATAGACTTGAGAGATAAAGTTGATTATGGTACCATTAGCTTAGCTATGAAAACCCAAAGAAGAACTCAGTTTGGGGAGAGGCAACAGTGGTGGTTCTCTTAAAAAAAAAGTTAGTCTCCATAAGAAGGTCTATAAGACAACTTAGTCAAAAAATGTTAGAGCTGTGATATTTTCTCTATTTTTCCATAAATTAAAACTACAAATTTATAATAGCAGATTAGACACCTTAGAAGAAAAGATGAGTGAACTTGAAAACACAGCAGTAGAAACTATACAAAATGAAAACAGAGAAAAGAAAAAAACTTTAAAAAAAAAAATAGGCATTAATGAGCTGTGAGACAACTTTGAGTAGCCTAATATACATGAAATTAGAGTTCCTAAAGGAGTGTATGGGTGAGACAGAAAAAATATTTGAAGAAAAATGGTCCCAAACTTTCCAAAATTGTTGACAACCATAACAGATGAAAAAGTCCAATAAACCCCAAGAAATCTTAACAGAATTAACCTAAAGCACATCATAATCAACTGAGTAAAACCAGTAATAAAGAGAAAATCTTAAAACCAGCCAGAGAAAAAGACACCCTACATATAGAGAAACAAAGATAAGGTTTTTCACCAAAAGGGGAGGAGAGAAAGGAAGGGAAACTAGAAGACAGTGGAGCAACATCTTTAGAATACTGAAAGAGAACAAAAACAAAAAACAAAACCTTATCGACCTAGAATCCTATACCCAGCAAAAATATCTTTCAAAAATTAAAGACTATTTCAGACATACAAAGCTGAAGGAACTTGTCACCAGCAGACCTGCACTACAAGAAATGTTAAAGGAAGTCCTTCAGATAGAAGGAAAATTACAACTAGAAATTTGGATCTACACAAAAGAATGAAGAGAACAAGAAAAATGGTAAAATAAAACAAAACAAAAATAGTTGCATAGGCAGACTCAGATTCATAAATAAAAAGTTACTGTTTAGAATCAATTTTCCAAATAATTAGCCCATATTTTTATGGCCTAATTTAATAGATCATAAATTTTTTTCCAAAAATTGATCTTTTTTTTGCCTAGCAACATTGAGAGATTTATTAATTTTATGGGGTAAGAACACTATTTATCCAAAGTAGGAACACGGCTGGCAATGCACACTGTTGTTAAAATCTCACCTGTGACCAAGCAGCAACCTGCCCCCAGGACCACCCAACCACCTCTAGCATGTTCCAAAAACATCAAGGACAAAAGGCAAGGATTCTTCTTAGAGAAAGAATAAGACCCATTTGTTAATCAACTCTAGGTGAGGGGTCAGCAAACTTTTTCTTTAAAGGGCCAATAGTAAATATTTTTGGTTTGCAGGCCATTCCAGTCTTACTCAACTATTCAACTCTACACTTGTAGAATGAAAGCAGCCATAGATGATAAGTAAATGAACGGTTCTGGCTGTGTGCCAATAAAACTTCATTCATAGAAACCAGGTGACAGACCAAATTTAGACAGTTGGCTGTAGCTTTCCAAACCCTGTTCTAAATGACTATATGGCGTGAAATCTCTCAAAGACAGAAACAGAAAGCTGAGGGTGGAGTCAACTCCTTCAAAGCACAAGCAATGATCATAAAAAAGCTCACTGGCCTACACGTGGGGAAAGAAGCCCCGTTCCACTTCCTTAGTATATTCTACTTTCTTATAAATAGCAAAGTTTCCAAATAACACCACACGATTAAAAACTCATTTAACTGACATGCTGGCGTCTGAAATTTCAATCATTAATACTGATTCACTTTGATTAAAATTAACCATTAGGGGACCTATGGATCATTTCGACACATCACATGACAATCCTCTCTGAAGGTATAATGTAATGAACCACAGCTATTACAGCTTTTGATTTATTATTGATTGTGAAATACAAACAAAACATAGAACTGAATCTTTTGTGGCTGCTGGAAATACTATAAGCATCTAACAACTATTGAATTGATCTGAGTAAGAAAGTGGTAAGAGGCAAATGCTTTATGCTTCTTTAAAATAAGTTGTAAAAAAATACACAAAAAAAGCAAAAGGTCACAAAATAGTATACACAAGGAAAATAAAATACATAACTTTTGAAATCACTTAATGAAATATTTGGGTGTTCATTAAGTATTAGGTGCTACAGGGAATAAATATTAACACTTAAAAATTATTGAGGACCCTTGGGCCGGCCCGGTGGCGCACTGGATAGTGCGCCACTTGGGAAGCGCGGCAGCGCTCCCGCCCGAGGGTTCGGATCCCACATACAGACCGGTTCCCGCTCACTGGCTGAGCGAGGCACGGGAGCAAAACCGAGGGTTGCGATCCCGTTGCCAGTCCCCGGTCCAGTACGGGGGCAACACTGAGGGTTGAGATCCGTTGCCGGACACGGAAAAAGACAAAAAGACAAAAAAAAAAAAAAAAATTATTGAGGACCCTAAAGAGCTTTTGATTATATGAGTTATAGCTGTCTATATTTACAATAGAAATTAGATATTTTTCAAATATTTTTTTTTACTTCTTTTAAAATAACAATAACATTGCTTTTGCACCATCTGTGCAAATGTTAACATAGTGAAAAATGCCAAATGGCATCTTGGTATTATTATGAAAATTGTCTGACTTTGAGCACCCATTTAAGAACCCCCAACCTAGGAGGTAGGTGGGGACAAGGTAGAATGGGCAGGCTGCAGTCAGCCTTGCCCGAAGACCAGAGAGACACTTTCTTTTGGGAGCAGTGGTGCCTCCATTAATTTTAAAGAAAATTACAAGAGGAAGAAAGGAAAGTAAATTATAATGCAGCCTTGATGAGAAGAAATACCTGCAGAACTGAGGAAAAGAAACCAGTGCTCAGATGTCTGACAACTTTCTGGGATCTATGGTCGGGATTCTGGAACACTCTGGCTTCTGCATACCCATCCCTTTCCCAGTGAAAACAGGCACCAAGCCAGACTGTTACCTTACATGCCCCAATTTCATATCTTGGCTATCATGCCGATGGCTTACTAATTAAATACAGGACTTGATATTTATATAAAAGAATGAGAGCGTGCACTGACTAACGATCTTAACAAATCAAAGAGGATGACTTTGGGATCCCATAATCATGCCATGAGGGAATAAGGATTCCTTTCATTAGTGTCTCTAGCTTTCGACTCTTGATTATTCAACATTAGTCACCTGACCGATTCAGTAAAAGAACATGAGGGCAGGAACAGAAAACATGTCCATGATGCCTTGCTGGTATGCAGAGCACATACCATGCCCCTACACCTCTATGAGGCGGTCTCATTCAGAGTAACCCATCTGTGTGCTATAAAGTGTGCAGACTCAAATTCTCTTCCTTAGACAAAGAGATTACACAGAATCTTAAATTTCAAGTCCAGGCAGAAATTTCTCTTTTCTAGGAACAACTACTGAAGTATCTTTTTTTTTTTTTTGGTCCTTTTTTGACACTGGCCGCACCGTGCTCAGCCAGTGAGCGCCCTGGTCATCCCTATATAGGATCCGAACCCGCGGCGGGAGCGCTACTGCGCTCCCAGCGCCGCACTCTCCCAAGTGCGCCACGGGCTCGGCCCAGTACTGAAGTATCTTAAAAGCATGTTTGCGTTTAAATATGGTGCTCCTGTTGGTCTCTACCTTGATTCAACTTCAGCTTTCAACGGCCAATTTCAATGCAAACACAATTGACAGGATGGGTAAAGTGAGAGTGGAAAAAAAGAAAGCATTAGGAAGGGCAAAAATGGGCTCCCAGTGGCCCCTGCCAAGCTTCTTCATAAAAGAGCTTCAATTTAACTGCGCTCCATCTAATCTGGCTCAGGGACAGAGGCCAAACAAGGTAACTGTTCTCTTCCCAGGCTAGGAGATGGATGCCTCTTACAATTAAGCAATAATAGCCCATTTGACTATTCCCATATATTGATAAAATATCGTGCTGTGAAGCTCACAAACTTCCCAGGAGATCATTATAGATCCAACACATTTAATTTGATTGATATCTTGTGCCGGGTCTGAACTTGGGCCTCAAAAAATGAGGAAGTAGGAAAGTATTGCATTTGTGACCATTTTCTCTTTTCCTTGGAAAATACATTCTTAAAAACAAATTCACCAAACCATATGCTGTCCATAATCGGTCTTATGGGACATAAGGGAAAAAGCCCACCACCTCAAATCTGAACTAAAGAAAATTGATCTGGGGTTTGGATTTCCATAGATGGACTTACAAACAGCTGTCTGACCAAAGGCACTTATGGCTGTCATTTTGAACAAGCCCTATTTTCCATGGTATCTTCATCTGCGACAGAGAGAGAGACCTAGTTTCTAGACCTAGGGAGGCTTGATTTTTAAGTTTTTTTTTAAGAAGATGCTTTGAGGCTGTGATCTCATCTAACTAAATTAAGTCGTGACTTGCTACTGTGCTGGGTTCCGGCAGCCATTAGACACAGCACATTCCAACCGCAGCAAGACAGGATTTAAAGGACTAATTTCCCCACAGATAAACAGCAGTGACACATGCTCTATTTCATACCCTCCTCCTTCCAAACAGGGGCAAGATAAGACACATGGCCACCCGTCCCTCTCAATTCCAACAGAGCAGCAAGATAAATGTGTCCTTCTCAGCTGCTCCAAAGTAAAAGGATTTGAGGAATTACAGGCCAATCCCCTGGCGAGAAAAGGCTAAAAACACACCACTAGGCACATAGCAAGGGCTCATTAAATATGGATTTAAGTACTAATGTCTCTTTCTCTTTTTTTTTTTTAGAGCTTAGGTGTTCATACAGGGAAGAAATATTAGTATATAATGCATTAAATAAAATAGTGGCTGAAATTTAGTTGTCTCCATTAGCAGCTAAGAAATGCTATCTGTCTCCCTCTCTGCCCACCCAACTCCAGCAAGCATGTAAGTCTTCCAGGCATGCACTTTTATATATCAATTTCATTCCTAGTTCCATTTTTTCTTCTATAGACTTATTCTCTCTTTGCCTTTTCTTTCTTATTTTGTCCTGTTTTACTGTTTCATATCTCAAACTGCTTTCAGTACACTGTGAAACAAGGCAGAGTATAAACAAAGAGATATCACGATTTTTTCCAAACCAAACACTGGAGGCACATGGTATCACTTAATGTGTTCTCCTAGAAACTACAAAACTTAAAGTTGCAATGGAAATCTGAACTTGGGGTGAGTCCTGGAAAATTTGGGATGCACAAGCACCTTCCATACAGGAGTTCTCTGTACCCCCAGTATCGTGGAAGCCACTGTGTCCTTGATTGGTCCCATAAGATCCAAGCACTGCCAGATCACATTCCCAATTTGGTTCAGATAATGGGATTCCCCAAACCCAACAATGGGCAATAACTTGTAAGAATGAAACTAGTTAAAAAGAAATATACACATTACTTTTAAATGAGGTAAATCATAAGCAATGCATGTGCACATCCATCTACAGAAGTAACCCCACTTCAAGAGATGTCTAGAGATATTCACTGATGGAGATGGGAACAGTATCCAAGTTGAATCAGAATGAATAAGGTACCCATTTAAAAAACACTAAACCCAATCAGCTACATTGTGCTGTGCCCACAGGAAAGTAATTCCTCAAATCCTTTTACTTTGGGGCTGCCAAGAGGGCACCCTGACCAGCAGGCATGAGTATGTCTGTCCACTTGGCAGGTACAGTATATTAATATGAGAAATGTATGCACTTGGTTGACACTAGCTGTTAAAACTCACTCAGCTTTCCATGCTTAGGGTCCTGGTCCACCAAGAAGACTTCTGAGAGTAATGGGGTTTTCTTAGTAGACTTCCCTCAAGGGGGAAAAAAAAATGTGAAGGTTGGCCACCCAGACTATCCTAGTCAACTTGGCAGCTGCATTTCTCATTGTAAGTTGATAAGCTGGTATTTTACATGAGTTTTGTTATACTGGGTCAGTCCCTTTAAGAATGATCAACTGTGGGGACATGGCCAAAAAGTTCCATTTTCAGACTTGCAGAAAGAACAGCGGTCTACATCCAGTGATTCCCCCCTCCAAGTTCTACCTCCTGAAAACACTCTCTAGCTCAGTAAACTAGTCTCTCAGAAAAAGCAGGAAACCCAGGTCCCTTTTAGAGAAAGAATCTCTCATTCAGAAGAATCTTTCCCATCCAGACCATAGATCATACTTCATGCATACAAAGACATGAAGCAGAATCTACAGCTGTTAAAAAAAAAAAAAAAGGGTAACACAAATGAGGCTAACTGAAACAAAAAAATGGGAATATGGTAGAAACAATACTGTAAGATTTAAGATTATTATTACTTTTTAATGATTGTTGAAAACTATAATAGATCTAGGTAAACAGACTGGCTGATACAAATTTAAAATACTATAATGATGATTGTTTTAAAAAGAGGGAAGATACATAAATACAGGGGAAACTTTTCGAGATACTAAGGAAAGCTTGGGTATTACCAATCAAGCTAGTACACTAATTCCAATGAAGGAGAGCCTATGTAAGCCCATTTCCTGCCTATTAAATATCTCTGTGGATTGCTTCTTTCCCTGTTGGAACTTCTAAAAGTGAGTAAATATCCTCAGTACCACACGCATCCTTGCCAAGCAACCTCCTTCAGACCTACCGTGAGTGCCTGGATCTCCTCTTCTGCTTCTGCTGTCGTCTCTTCCAGCTCCGTCTTCGCCTGGCGAAGCTGGCTCTCCAGGGCCGCCCGGGCAGCCTGGAGGGCTGTCAGCTGGGACTCACGCTCCTGCAGGGAGAGCTGCAGTTCTGTGAGCTGGCGCTTGAGCTCCAGTTTCTGCTCCTCGTGCTCTAGACTGACCTGAGAGAAAGAGACAGACCCTCACTTGATCTGAACAGAAAAGGAAGTGAACAAACAACCTGCTGCTCAACCTGCAGCTTAAACCTGGTCTGGGAACCAAATTCTCAACACTCAACAGATGGGAGAAAAATGTAATAAAATGGGTCTGACTTCCATGCATTTCAGAAATCAACAGGAGTGAGAACATGTAAGAGGCTGTGTATCTTAACCAACCCTTACTTACAAATATTCAAATGCCTGGGAAGGCTTCAAAAAGAAAAACCACACAACAAGAATCTCAAATAAAAACTATAACAATTATTTTTATTAGAAAAACATTTAAAGGTAAATGGATATAAATAACATCACATTAGTAACAGGGATACCTTTACAATTGGAAGGCAAATGGAACAACAGATTGAATTCTATTTATTCTAAATATTCTTGCTCCAATTTGTTCTCATTAAGTAACCTGCATTAATGTCACATTATAAGCTAATCATTCTTCCTTCCATTTGCTCATCCATCCATCTCTCTACTTGATGTTTCATCCATTCATTTAAGAAAAATTTACTCAGTGATATCTGTGCAAAAAAGAATATGGAGATAAAAGACAGTCTCTGCCTTCAAGTTGGGGAAAAATAATGAAAAACAACCATTACTGCATATTGTGGTCAGGACATTTAGGGATATAGTAAGAACATGGCAGAGGGGTAGAGAAGCTAACTCTGAATCTAATAAATTCTATTGAAGAATTTACAGGAGTCAAACAAGCAGATAAAAGGGGAAAGAAAATTCCAGGCAGAGGAAGCAAGACATCTAAAGGTATGGGGGTGAGGGAGACCATGGCACATCTATTGACCTAACAAACACTGACAAGACTGTCCTAGGGACCAATGCTAAGAGGAACCCACAGTGATGAGCTAAGCTCAGCAGGCTGTGGAGACACATAGGAGACAACCAATCTAGCTTCAGAGGGTTGGAGAAGGCTCCTCCGAAAAGATGACATCCTAGTCTGAAAGGCCATAAGGGTAAAGAGAAGAAGGACGTGCAAAAGATTTAACCTGGAGCACCAATAAGATTTAGTGGTTAATTTGGGGTAGGGCAGAGAACTAAGGACAGAGGAGACTCAGAGGTGACTCCCACATTTCTGATCAGGTGGATTATAGAGAGTGAGACCTTTGACTATGACAGGAAACAGAAAGGAAGACCCAGTTAGAGGAGAAAGATGAGAAATTCAGTCTTGACATGTTGAACTTGAGTCCCATGGGAGGCATTTAAGTGGAGATATCTAATGTCTACTGCGACACTGGGTCAGAAACTCAAGCGAAATGTCTGGGTTGGTAATCTAGATCTGGGGGGGTCTTTAACAAATCAGTGGTAGCTGAAGCCATGGCTGTGATCTCTCTCTAGTGATGATGATGATGGCAATGAGAACAACAACGATGACAATAACACGACAGCAAACATAGCATTAGGCTATGCACCACATCAGGCTCTGCATTAACTCATTTCATCTTCATAGCACTATTACTTCCATTTTACAGATAAGCGAACTATGGCACTGAGAGATTAGGTAACTGAGCAAAGGTCACATAGCTGAAAAAATGGCAGGGCCAGTATTCAAACCCCAAAGTCTGGCCCCGAATCCATGCTCATAAACACTGTGCCTACTGTTTGCATTATTAAAATGCCAGCAGTCAGAGCAGGCTGGGACTCTACTAGCAAGTCTGAAAACTCCCCTGATGCCACTTGGCAAAGCCATGAAGCAGGTGACAGGAAGTCAAGGGAGGTGGAGGAGCAGATGCTGTACAATGAAACAAGAAGCCATGAACCCTGTACCTTTGCCACTCCACACGCTTTGCTAGAGAAGAGCTAACACTGCACACACAGGGTGAGTGGAAGGCCCAGGGCCTCTAAGGTGAAGCAAACTTGAGGCTAAAGCCTCTGCCCTCAATCTCAATAGCAGCATGTGTCGAAGAGAAGATCAACTGGCCTTGTTATATTTAGAGCTAAACCCCAAAACTCCCAGGGAGAATATAGAGCTCTAAGCCTCTTATGAAACATTTTAAGTTTCTCCTACCATCCTTGGGGGGCTAGCTATACTGATTCAAGAAAAAAGCAATCCTTAGGGACAGTTTAATTGTCCAGATGAGCTACAGCTGCAGAGCAGGCTCTGTAAGGCAGACATTTGTGGAAAGGCAAGGCAACAGACAGCCAGTCAACATTCGCAAGCTAAAGAAATCTGTCTGGGTTATTTACACTCACACCCTTAAAGCTGACTCTGCCAGGTATCTTGTTGTTAAACTTATCAAAGAGTAAAAATATAGCCTGGATATTAAAAGTTAAACCACCACCTAAGGATTTCAGACAACCTAAAACAATGTTTCTCAAACTCCAGGGAGTATGAGTATAAAAATCACCTGTGGCGTTTGTTAAAAATGCAAATTCTTGGGGCTGGCCAGTTAGCTCAGTTGGTTAGAGCATGGTGCTGATAACACCAAGGTCCAGGGTTTGATCCCTGTACTTGCCAGCCACCAAAAAAAAAAAAAAAAAAATGCAAATTCCTTAACCCCCCTGCCAATTCCATTTTAAAAAGATGAAGATGACATCAAGGAATTTGCATTTTAACAGACACTCCATGTGATCCTAATGGAGTGGTCCACACCTTGACAATACATGAAAAACACAAGATAATACATTTTTTGTCCTTTGGAGAACTGGCTTCATTTTAATATTCCAATACAAATTAAGACACACCTATCCATGAGTATTCCCCAAGATTTAGTCCTCAAGAACTCTGTCTGCTTAACAGTCTTTTTCTTAGTCTTTGAAGAATTACATCACAAAAACTTGAGCACCTACTATGCACGAGACACTGTGTCTTCACTGTACATCCAGGCTACTAATGAGCACACAGCAGACATTCAATAAATATACAGTGAATACGTGAAAGTAACTTCGTGGCTTCAAACAACCTCAGCATGTCTACAACCGAAGTGGTTCTATTTTCCTCCCAAAAGCCTAGTTGCTCTTCCCAATTTCTTCATACCTCTGAAGAGAACTACTTTCCATCAAACAAACTTAAGTTTGGTTTTGTTTCCACTGTCTTTATGAGACCTCTGCCACCATCACTGAGCCACACTATATACCCAACACTGCTAAGCTCCATGCATGGACTAGATCTTGTAGCCCCCATTAAATCCTGATAGATTTAATAGAGATTTAATAGATTTATAGAGGAGGAATCACTACTCCCATCTGACAGATACATCAATTTACATAATCCCCACATGACCCTATGGGGCAGATACACTGTCACTGACATTTTACAGATGAGGAAACTGAAGCACAGAGAGATTAGGTAGCTTGCAAAACTAATAAATGCAGGTGGAATTCTAACCCAGATGCGTGTGGCCCAATCTGCGCTCTAAACTACCACGCACAATGCCTTTACTATATATTTTGATTTATGCTTGAAACCTGGTTTGGAGCCCGAAACCCCAGCAAATCCTCTCAGGAGATCACCCCTCACTCTCACCTCCCTCAACCTTGTCTCCAGTTCCAGCAGCCGATTCTTGTCACTGTGGTCTTGGTGGCTAATTTTCTCCAGCTGCTCTTCCAGCTTTCGGTTCTGGGCCTCCAATTTCCCAGCCTGTGTCTCCAGGTAAAATTTCTGTTGCCTGAGTTCAGAAATCATCTCTTCCTGGGCCTTCCTGGTGGGGGTGGTGGGAGGATCCAAACAAAATCATAGTCTCATTAGAGGTGAGCAAGTCCCCTCGGAAAGATAAGACAGAAATGGAGTGAGATGTGGGTCCTCATTATGTGGACTATGGTCAATCCCAAGTTAGTGCTCTCCTGATCTGGCATGATCACAGGAGAGCGAGCCTGGGTACCATTTAGTCCTCTCTGCTCACAGTTCCTCACCTATGGGATTGAGTGCAGTCAAGCAGGGTACAGGAGATAACTAACATTTCTCTCCTTTGGTAGACTTTTTTTTTCTTTTTCTTTAAGAGTCTGTATAGGAGATCACAAAGGAGCCAACTTAGAGTACAAGAGTGCCCCCAATAACTCATTAAAGCAGGCCCCAGGGAGAAGGAGTGATGAGAAAAAAAGAATATTATTCCTTCTAGTTCTCTCTGGAGATTCTTCACCTCTCCACCAAACTGCCTGCAAGTATCAAAACCTCAAAGACCAAAAAAGCAGCCTACCAAGCTGGTTTAGGTTAAGATGGGAATGTTTTGAAAGATCTCTGAAGAGAGAAACCTAAGGAGAAAAAAAAGTCCTGGAGATTGTCATTCTTTGGGGAAAAGATTAAGATCATGTGCTGCTGAACACAGACTGTATAAGTCTGGCAAACAAGGACAGCAGCTTTCCAAAGGCAACCTATAAACAACCTCATTAGAGAGAGCAAAACATTCTGTAATCTGATGATAATTCAAGGCATTTAAGAAAACCCGACTTAAAAGAAAAGGATACAATAGAGTGAGGCCACTTAAGAGAGGGCAAAGTTACATAAGTCTACTAGGGCTGGGCCGAACTGCAAAAGTAATTAAATCTGCTCCAACTCCATCAGATAAAAGAAGAACAGAGTTTATGCCCCAGGAGAGAAGACCAAAGTGTAATAATGTACGAGGTTAGAACTTGACTACTTACATGTTCCTTTGGGTAAAAAGACTGCTGTTTGCTGCAAGCTTATTGGCTTCAGACAGTTCCACAATCCTTTGTTCCAGGGATCTGATCTTGGAATCCATAGCATTGATCATCTGAAACACAGAGGACTTTTGAAACGTCACACACAGACAATTACACCAGAACAGAAGTACTGTGGGCCTGTGGACCAGGGTAAAAGCCTCATCTGGAATGCCGGCAATTTGGCCAGAGGTAACAAGGGACTCAGCTGGTCTCTACTCTGAAGATCACAGATGCCACCACTCAGACAGATGATACTCAGTTGTTTTTTCCAACAGAAATTAAATGTCCCACACTAGCCAAGTGGCCTACATGCAAAACACACAGAAGGACCTACTCAGGAACCTGACATCCTATGAGTAAGCAGGCCTCATTAAATCCCCAAGTCACCTGCGTGTGACCTGGGCCTGCAGCAGCCTCTAACTTGAATCTACAAGTTCATATTTATCCATATTTATCATTATCCATAGGGTTGTCATTTTCTGAGTGATTCCTTCTCACCCAGCCACTACTGTTCTAGATTCTCTATGTGAAAGTTCCCTCAACTTCATGGATCATAAGAATCAGGGACGGAGGGGTGAAGGGTGTTGCCGGTTAAAAATATAATTTCCCAGGACCCTCTCTTAGAGATTTGAGGCGGGGCAGGGTGAGTGAGGGGGTGCTGGTTACGAATATAACTTCCCAGAATGCTCCCTTAGAGATTCTAATGTGGAATGTCTCAGCGGGGCCTGAGATAATATTCATATTGAAAAGCATCACATGTGAACTTCATGAGCAGCAAGTCTCTGAAACAACTGCCTACATAGATGAGAAAGGAGAGAAACAGACAAAGAAAAAAAAAGAGGGGGGCATTCTGAAGGACAATATTTTAGTGGATGGCAGACCAGCATGATGAAGAACAGTACAAAATCAGCTACCCTGAGCCACCACCTCCGTCACTTTTAGGAAAGGAAGCAGTTTCAGAGAAAGCTTCCTGTTATCAACAAACTCCACAAGATTAAACAGAAAGAAGAATTCACCAGATGCAATGGGGTCTTCTCAGGTGTGTGGTTCTTGGTGTATTTCAAAGCCCTCCTTTGCAGATTGGCTTTGTGGTTCCTTGTACTTACCGCCTTCTGCTCGCTGAGAATCTTGCCTTTCTCATGGGCTTCCTCTTCATGTCTCTGCATCATGTTCTCCAGGGTCTCCTTATCGGCCAGGTCTTTCTTTATCTGATTATCCAACACCTATGGAAGCAAAAGAAGAAGTGAATGTCCTAAGTAGCAAAGCTGAGCAGGGAAGACTAACCAGGGACACTTGAGAAAAAGAAGGAAAGAGGCAAAGATCAGTGGAAAGGCCCAAGGTCTCCCAACTCTGGGGCAAAGAGAAAGCAAAAATCAGGAGTCTGTTTATCAACTGGGATGAGATTAAGAAGTCAGATATTACCATCAAATGGCAAGTAATGAGTGGACTTGAGCTAAGAATTTATTTTAAAACCAGCAGCCAAAAAGACCAGAGAAATATATCCACAATGACTTAGACTTCAGAAGGACAAGGGGAAAAAAGATCTCTCTCGTGGTCTAAACCTAGAGAATAAAGTTCTTATAATGTGCAGATATTACCTGGGGATAACTTTTTTTTAGCCAATGCACCAGTAGTTTTCAGAACATTCCTTGCTCCTAATTTGTACAAAATTAATTCTAGATACTCCTGGGCTGTGTGCAGAGAGAGAGAAGCTGAAGACCGAGGAAGTCTGTGTGACCAAGGCTGATGTTCAGAAATAGCCAGGGACAAGAGGATTTTGGCCACCAATAACAGAGGTGGACAGTTAATAGATTGAAAAGACAACATAAAAGGAAGGGAAAAATGTCAATTTCCTCCATTCTTTCCTCTGATCCAGCTAAGGAAAAAAATAGTCACTGGGAAGAGAAGCCTTTCCCAGGGGAAGAGGAATCATATGTTCCCAGTGCTGAGACTGCCACTGTAAGCACCCCCTGTTCGCAAGAGGAAAACATAAAACAGTAATGGTGTCACCAGCCACTAGTTTGACCTAAAGTTCTTTGGGCACACATAGCCCTACCAATTGCCAAAACAAGTAAAAAAGAAAGGAAAAAAAGAAGACATCATAACTTGTCCAAGCCTTTGACCACAGCCCTCTGTTTCTCATCACAGAGAATGTATTCTGCTTTTCAAATGACACCAACTACATCAAGAAGGACAACAGGATATGGGGAATAAAGCTGAAAGAATCGAGGTCACAGATGGGATTGAAATCTGCCTTTCCCACAATGTCTATTGTGAAGCGGCCTTCAGAGCTCATGGGGATGTCATCACTAAAAGGAGCCAGTCAGCAGGGAGGGGGTCCTACATGATAAAGAAAGGAAAGAACAGATTTCAAAGAGGGCTTGAAACTAGAACCGACTGATGAAAAAAATAGAATGGGAGTTGGTGGAGATGAGTGAAAGGTGAGGAACAGGGTCATGAGAGGAGGGAAGCAGCTCAGTGGATGTTGGAGCATGATTCTAAAATTATGAGCAAGTACAAGGTAGAATCCAGGGTATGATCATAATTATACTAAAATGTCTGTATAGAGGCCAGAACAGGAAACACAAAGCAGAACAGCCTAAAAAGAAGAAATGTTTTTATAAAGATTCCAGTAGGGGAGACAGAAGAAAACAGATCTTTCCCTAACATTCTGTGGGATCTATAAAACAAAGTTCTTTCTATCTAGAAGGTAGTGAAGACCACATAATATCAAGACCAGGTATGCTCTTTTTTTAATGAGATGCTAAAGCAATAAAATTTATTTTCAGGATGACTCGGCTCAAAATAAGACCTCAACTTTGCCAGCAATGTATATAAATAGGAGGTAAATGTAGGCCAGAAGCAAGCCTCTATCAAGAACGTATGCATCTTTCATCTTTGATAGGGTTCAACCGGCAGAAGGATAAACAAGATGATGTATTGAGGAGAGGAGGAAGCAAGGAGTTTATTTAAAATGAGAGATTCCACTGAAGACATCTGAATCAATTTAAGATAGAACATGGCTTTTGACAGGCACATCAATATAATCGCCCAAATCCCAGAATGGATTTTACAAAGGGTATTTTCATCATGCAAAGTTACCAGTGGACTACTATATACATTCCTATAGTTTTCTGAAAAACTAGTCTATTCCAAAGATAAAACTCAGAAAGCCAGTAAGTATTCAAACCAAAAGGACTAGTACACAAAGTTTAAAATGCACTAAAGTAGGGAATCACATGAGAACCCTTTGAGATCACTTCTGGGTTATTTTCCAATATTTCTTTTAATGAAAAATAACCAAAAAGTAGTGCCATGGGTAGAAGAAAGAAGGTGCCAGGGTGGTTGTGGAGGTGATATTGTATGAGCATGTATTTTTGGTTCTCCAAGAAAGGATTACTCAACTCTTTGATAATACCAACCAAATAATAAAAAGGTCATCACAAAAATTAAAAACTTCCTTCAGTGTCTGATTGGGAAGGGGAAGAGACAATGTCTGAGAAAGAATGACCAACATTTGATCCTGCAGAGCCTAAGAATAAATTAAAGGCTTGGTCCAGAATCATAATGAAAATGTAATGTGATTTTAAAAGGAAATTGTAGGCTAGTATCCATTTCTGATAATATAGTGGGCTAGATGTAAGGCCAGCTCTTCTAATGAAAATGATTTAAAGTACTAGATAAAATACAGAAAACATTTTCCCAAAAGCACCTGAAAGTTGGCAAGACAGTAGGAAATTACAGACCAAAATCTAAGCAAAAGCAGCAGGGAGAGGAAAAAAGGGCTCAAAGCTTCAGTTTTTATATTCTACAAGGTCAAAAAGTGACAGAACTCAAAGCCCAGGGTCACCCCCAAGGTGGGCACACATTGTCATCCAAGGCTTCAAAGAACTCCCATTAATAATTTCCCAAGGAAAATGAAGAGCTCACCAAGCACACGGAAGGAAACAGGCATCATGAAAAAGAACCAAGAGAAACAACAAAGCAGAAAAATCTTCAAATACTTCAGATATTGGAATTTCAAATACAGATCATAAAACATTTAATGCACTTAAAACAATAAAAGACAGGCTTGAAAATGAATGTAGGGAATAGAAAATTATTATCTTCTTATTCTAAGTAAACCTGGGAAAGAACCAAATAGAATGTCTAGAAATAAAAAATACAGTAACTGAAATTAAAAGCTCAATGGATGGGTTTAACAGCAGATTACACGCAGCTAAAGAGGAAGTAGTAAATTGGAAAATAAGTCAGAAGAACTTACCAGAATGTAGCACAAAGAGACAAAGAAATGGAAAATATGAAAAAAGGATAGGTTGGAGGTGATCTAATATATGTCTGGTCAAATTCTCAAAAGAAAAGGAAAGAGAGAAGAGGAAAAGACAGTATGTGAGACATAATGACCACTAATTTTCTAGAATTAATAAAAAGATACCAATCTATTCAGAAGTCCAGGACATCTCAAGAAGGATAAAAAAAAAGAAGAAGAAATCCACATCTAGACACATCACAGCAAAGCTTCAGAAAAATTAAAGACAAAGTAAAACTTTACAGAAAAAGCCAAAGAAAAAGGATAGATTACTTTCAAAGAAAGCAACAGTTAGACTGACAGCTGATTTTATAATAAGCAATAATAAAAGCCAAAATCAATCACTGGAATGATATCTTCAAAGAGTGTTACAAGAAAATAACTGCCAACCTAAAATTCTATCCCCAGTCAAAACTTCTTTGGAGAATGAGGGTGAAATAAAGACATTTTCAGACAAACAAACAGAGAGCTTATTACCAGTGGATCTTCACTAAAAAAAGTTCTCAAAGATATACTTTAAACAAAAGGAAAAGAAACCGAGGTCTGAGATGCAGGAGGAAATTAAAAGCAAAGAATGTGGTGAATGTGGACAAATCTAAATTATCCTGGACTGAATAACAACCAGCTTAACCAAAAAAAAAAAAAAAAAAAAAAACATTTTAAAAGATGGAATTGAGATATATAATGACCAAATTTTTTTTAAAAATTTTTTTGAACTTCAGATTTCCAAACCTTCACGTGCATAACACCCCTAAAGCCTCCCAACATGGAGCAAGGACAGCATTTACTCCAAACCGTCCTTCAGTCTAGCAAGAAATAGCCAAAAGTACCAAGGAAGAGAGGGAAGCTATGTGGTGCTATAGAAGGAATGCCAGAGAAGATTAGAAAGTGTCTTTACTTTAATTTTTTCCTCATAGTGCTGCTCCTTCTGTTTCAGATGCACCTCTAGGTGCTGGGCTGAGACTTGGGCCTCCCGGTGTTTCTCCTCCAGCTCCTAGATACAAAAGAGCAGATGGTCAGGTGTGCAAAGGGAAGAATATGGCCAATGTACACTAGACATTCACAGGAAACATGACTTTGGTACAGGCACCACAGGTCAGGCATCTGGTCCTCTGTTACTAGCCTTAAGGCTCTTGGGAAGGAAATGACCACCATGCCTTGGCCCTGGGTGTTCCAAGTCCAAGTAGTTACACACACACACAGACAGACACACACACACACACACACAGAGCTGGTGGGTTGTGAGGCCTGGGATCAGAAATATGTCAGCGTGACAGGTCAAACACAGGCAGCTCTTCATCTTTGCGTAGAGAAATAAGAACAAGGCAACATTTGAAAATTAATACAGCACAAAGCCCCTGACCACTATCTTGAGTCTTGGGACATTTTCACTGTTAATGACAGTGTTAAATGACAAAAGTAATTTCAATTTATTATGATGATAGAAAATATTTTTTATTTTCCTCATTAACAAAATTATTGCTCAAGAACCCTAGTTAAAAAGGAAAACTATTTACAATTCAAGCACTTCAAGTTTTGGATGATTATTTTAACTGACTGGTATGTGGAGAATATGAAGATCTGGAGATGCATATATGATATAATGTTTATATGACACAATGCTAATGAGAACAAAGCTGAACATAAAATACACTGATAATGATGTAAAAATGTATGCATACACATTAAAGATGGGAAGAGAATTTGGAGTGATATAAATAACTCAAAGTTAGTGTTCTGTTAGTTCTTTTATTGCTAAGTTTCCTGCTTTTAAACAAAATTGTAATTCACTTGAAAATTATACCAATTCATTTGCCAATGTATTATAAACCAACCTTATAAAAGGCAGTATTCAATTCACTGAAACATTCTCTAAATGCACAGATAGCTGCATCTACATTAGTTCTTAAAAATCTGGATCCATTAGATAATTACTAATATCAAAAGTTACTACTCCAACTTTTCACCTCTGCACACTATTATGAAATTTTTCTTTGAAGTGGAAGCAATTATGAGAATTTTGAAGAATGAGGAAATTATACAAGATATGTCCATAAAAATGGGAAGAAAAAAAGTACTTTGAGATTCACATGCACATAAAATGTTAATGATTAAGCTTTTTGAAATTCTAAATTCTACAAATATCGCCTTTGCTTTGGGGGCCATTAAAGTGTTCAATCTTAAAGACCAGGTGCACAAGATCTATTGCAATCTAACAGATGTGATCTTGAAAAGTTGAATGCAAACAGGATTTTAATTAGTAAAAACATATTTTAGAAGGCTTTATGTGTACTCACTAAAGGATCCCCTGCAATGACTTCTTTTGTTAAAGCAAAGGACTTTGCTATAATGAGAGCCCCGATTATCTATTTTGAACAATCCTATCAGAAGAGCAAATATTTTAAAGCCAGTGACATTTGGGGATCTGTTTTGAAGTATCATCATTATATAATGGTGTTAAAGACCACTATTTGCCCATGTCCTAGACAACTTTGCAGCCTAAGCACAGGGTTCTTGAGCAAAGGAAACTTCTGATATGTGAAGTCACAACCACAAAGGCACTCGGGCAAATGACAAAATACATTCAGACAAAGAAATCCGCTTATTTTTCCTTTATGTTAGAAATTACTTGATGATCATCTTTTCTTAGTTTCAGTCCTCAAAAGATCACACAGGAATGGAATCCAGAATCTAAAAACAGGTCAAAAACTCAGATACCCGAGACTGACAACTTTAAGACCAAATTTCTGGTCTGTATATGAATGGGAGTTTACAACACATAATCCAATAAGGCAGAACTCTCTACTCTTACATTTTGACTGCAAGTGAACCTTTGGAAAAGCAGATATTCTAAAATCTGACTTCTCGGTGGTTTGGCATTTTTTGTTGTTGTTGTCATTTTTCAAACATTATCTTTTCTATATATGTATTAGATGAACTCTTTGGTCCTGTTATGCAAATACTGTTGTTCGATGCTCTATTTCCAGCTCCTAGAACAGTGCCTGGCACATAGTAGAAGCTCATTAAATATTTGTTGAATGAATGAATGAACACATCACCATTAAACAGAGAAACACTTTGCAACCACAAGAGAGTTAACCGCTTCATTTGTACCAAGCAAGGGATAGCAGTGGTGGGATCTCAGTAGAATCTATTTTACTCACAATAAAATTCACACACTTGACAAAAGCCAAGAGAAACTTTGATGATGGAACAAGAGAACAGAAAGGGTAGACTAACAGTCACACTTGTCTTTGTGTGCAGACATATATACGAAGACTAGGTGTCAAAGCAAAACAATTTAACCAATTCCTCTCTTACCCGTTTTTTCAAGAACATCTATGTATTTATGAATATACACATAGAAATGGAAAGTTTTGAAGGGTTTGGATTTGGTTTGGTTTGGTATTAAGTACAAGCCTTTAAGTTGGCCATTCTTGAGTTCATAGAGTTTCTGGTGATTCATATCTCAAAGTGATGCAAAGAGAGAGAGATGAAGTGACCTGCACACCACCTCGCCTCCTTATAGTAAAGAGAAAGGGCCAATGACTTCAGAGTCTCTCCTATGGGCAGGACAAGTGGGGGTTATGAATGGACTCCAAGTAATCATTAAATCTTTCAAATGTGACGTCAAATTTCTAGTGTTGAGACTGAGATCCAAGGAGAGCCCCTCAAAGGCTGCTTTCTACCCTGGGAGGGGCAAAACTACAACACATTTGCAAGTACCTGAGCCTTCCTTGATTAACTTAATTTGGTCATCAGAAACTAAGACAGAACGAGGATGATTACAAATCTAAAGACCTGATACATCTAAGGAAATTGAAAAAAAATAATAATAACCAACTGTAGCAGAGAAAGTGAGTGGGTGAACACGGATCTATGACAAATACTACTCTGAGAAAAACAATTCTGTATGACTAATTTTTCTTTCTTCTCCAAAAGCAAGAATCTGAGTTTCGGTCTTAAAGGTCTAAACCCCTACAACTTTCTAAATTGGCATTGCAAAGTCAGTCAACAGCCATACGCAAAACTCGGCTGACAGAAGTATGTAAATGCTCCTATTAAGTGTATCAAAAATTATAAATGCATGTTCTACTAAAAAATGCCAGGCAGTAGCAAACAGCACAAAAAATAACATTTATAGATACCAGTGCTAAAACTTCCAATATTTGGTTATTCATACTATTCTGCAATGTGGCATACACTGATACCACCTCTCTTAATTCACCTACTCCGTGATACCTCCCCTGTTATGGTGCTGAATTCTTCTTCTTACCCCCTTCCCTTTGCAACCTCTAACCTGTTATCTTTTAACTTTTCAACTTTCGTTCCTGCTCACCAGAATTTTATCAGCCATCTGCTGGATCTGTTGGGATTTTGTCTGGATGTCATCCTTCAGTCTGTTTTCTCTACGCTCCATGGTCTCTAGCCTCTTTACCTTGTTCTCCAGAGAGTGGCGGCGTTCCTGTAGATCATGAATCAATCAGAGAGTTTTAATGGAGTAACCGCTATGGGCATAACACCTGCACCGAGGGAAAGAGCCCTCAAGAAGTACACACTTGAGTCAGGAAGAAAAGTCTCAGGCACCCAAAGCAACAGTGAAGAAAATAAGACTCTATAATTCAGGTACTCAGTTGTGTAGGTTACAAGAGTGCATTCATTCATTCAAATATTTACCAAGCACCTACTATCTGCAGAGTACCACACTAGACATCATGGAAAATACAGAGAAGATAACATTAATTCCTGCCCTTGGAAGAGATAAGACAAACATAAACATGATACGGGTTAAGAGAGGGAAGAACCATAAAGCAAACAGGTACTAGTGCTGTGGGAGGTGTGGACAGGAAAGAGGACTTTTAACTGAGTAGTCAAATGGAGGAGTTGCAGAGGTGTGAGCTTGGGGGAAGGACAGGATGTGGCAGTTTGGAGTAGGGAGGGCAAGAGAGGAGGGTGAAAGGTGTTTCAGGCAAAGGGAGGCTCATTAGCAGAAACACAGAGGTGGTCAAGAGCCAGTTTACACACCAGGTGAAACCAAGAATGGCTACAACATAGAATGTGTTGCGGGAAGAGCTGGTGAAAAGGTAGCATTTGTGAGTCAAACGGTTGAGAGTTTCATATACCAGGCTGATGGGTGCATGTAAGATAAATGGAACCCCTGAAAGGTTTGGGATGGGGCAGCGGATACTCAGGAACCTTGTGATTGGAGTCCATGAATCTTACACTGTGTGAGCTAGCTGGGAGGAAGGAGAGATCGGGAAGCAGAAAGTCAAGAAATTACTACATTTGCTCAGCTAAGAGGAAAAGGGCCCAGACTATGAGGAGGGCTACAGAAATGGCCGGCAGGCGATGAACAGGAGACATGGGGTGGCTATATTTATACGACTGAGTGACTCACTGAATGGCAGGGTCTAAGGAAAAGTAGATGACACCAAGGTTTTAAGCCTGGGTGACCAGATGAATGAGGATGGCCCTGACCAGCATGAGGAAAGTGGGAAGGGAAACCACCTTGTGGGCAAAGATACTGAGTTCATTCTAAATTTGATCCACTGTTCAGATACCCAGTCGGGATTTCAGGGAAATACAGCCTGGAATGTGGGTAAGGGTGGCTCCAAAGAGACATGTACCAGTAGGTCCACACCAAGACTATGATAAGGAAAAGGAAAAAATCCAGCAATAGGAGGAGGGTTAAATCAGCACATCCATTCTGTGGAACAAACACCAAGGGGCGGGGGAGGCAGAGAGGAGTGAAGGAGAAGTGTCACTTTCTACCCTGTATTCTTCTACACTGTTTTAACTTTTTTACAATGAAAAGGTACTCATGTGTTTCTGGTGTAATTATAGAAATGACTTCAACAACAACAACAACAACAACAACAAAGAATTTGAGGGAGAAAAGAGGCCCAGAAATACAAATCTGAGAGTCAACATGGGCAATAGGCAAAGCCTTGAAAATTAATATGTTATTAACATTGTGGGGAAAAGGCAAGAAAAAACAGAAGGAAGAAAAAGAAAAGCTCAGAGCTGGAGTCACAGTTAACCTATATTAATATAAATTCTCCCAGATTAGTGAGTAGGTCAGAGGAAAACAGAGAGGAAACGCTTTTATTGAGACACCCTTCCACTTGAAGCTGCTGTGACAAATGTTTCTTTCCCCTTGGGAGAAAATGTTTCCAAGCCTCTCAAGCTTCAAAGAGATCTTCAGAAGGGAAAGCAGGTTGGTCAAACATAAGCAAGTGATGGTTTTGCAGTTCCTTTTCCTTGGCACAGCCGAGGGCAGGTCGAGGTTGCTCACATGCGGCCACACTGGGGCCGGGGTCAGTCTACTGCAGCCTGGAGGTCCCCTGCTCACCTCGGCTTCCGCCAACTTCTTTCTTATGCCTTCAGAAGAATCCTCTCGGTTCTGAAGCTTCTCCAGTTCCCGCTCAGCTCGCTCCTTCGCCTGGCGGATATTCTGCAGCAGCTCAGTGGCCTCTGTGCTGGCTTTTACAGCCTACAAAGGAAGAAGGAACAGGAGATAGGTGACCAAATTTATTCCTGTAAAAAGATGGTGATGATACCCTACATGGAAAGAGCAGGTAACACTGAGTGTATAAACAGTATCCATTTTTCAAAACATATGAACATTCATTTTATTCTGGATTTCATACATCCTAAAGTGCACTTTTTCTTTTAACATCACTGAATGTGGGATGCATCCTACAATTAAAATTGATGCACCTTTCTTTCTTGGGGCATATAAGGTATTAGTGTGTCTGACAATCATTAGCATCTTTGATTTGATGAAGGTAGTAAATGCAAACAAAATGATCTAGATGGACTGACCTACCCAAGACTTAATGTACTCTGAGCATTAATTTTCTCCTTACTTTATCTCATTTGCTAATTTTCCTCCAAGGAATTTATAATACTTTTACAAGAAGAAAACAAAATAAAAGCTATAATTTTAACTTTTTTTTTCAAATAAACACCTTTCAAAGGGTATGACAGCCATAGTGTTCATGATGATTTACAAATCCACATTTTAAAAAGACAGCTAAACTTCTTGAAGTTAATTTTGTATTTGTTAGTTTTTACTTGGGTCTTAACTATACTACAGCTCTTATAGCACTATTGTAAAGATCTGACTTTATGAGACCAATAACCTCACACTTAATTGTTTTAAATTAAAATTTTAAGAAGTAGAAACTGCAAGAAAATTCCAACTTTTAGACCCTCATCATCCAATATGGGAGCCACTAGCCACATGTGGCTACTGAGACTTGAAATGTCACTGAGAAATTCATTTTTTAAATTTTATTTTTAAGTAAATTTTAATTAATTTAAATTTGTTTTAACTTAATTTTTAATTTTATGTAAGTTTAATTCTTTAAAATCTTAAGCAGTATAAGTGTTGTAATATTGATATATGCCGTAATGATAATATTTTGGATAGGTTGAGTTAAATAAAATATATCATTCAAATAACTTCACCTGTTTCTTTTTGCTTTTTTCCAATGTGCCTACTAGAAAATTTTAAATTACATCTATAGCTAATATTTGTAACTCACAACACACTTCTATTGGAGAGCACAGTTCTAGATGATAATATGCATCCTCTCACAAGCTTTTAGCTGAAAGAGGGCAGTGAAGGCTTTCATTAAAGAGCTCAAAAATAAGTAAGAAAGGTACAGAGGAATAGATAAAGAAAACATGGCATGTATATATGTACAATGATATATTACTCAGCCTTAAAAAAAGGAAATTCTGACACATGGATGAAACTTCAGTACATTATATTAAATAAAATAAACCAGTTACAGAAAGACAAATACTGCATAATACCACTTATATATGGTATTTAAAGTAGTAAAAATCTAGAAACATTCAGTAAAAAAGTGGTTATCAAGGACTGGGGGGAGGGAAAAAGGAGGGAATTAGTGTTTAGTGGGTACAAAGTTTCAGTGTTACAGAATGAAAAAGATCCATAGATCTGCTTCCCAATCACGTGAATGTACTTAACACTACTGAACTGTACACTTAAAAATAGTTAGGATGGTAATTTAATGTTATGTGTTTTTTACCCCAATAAAAAAAAGAAGGTTCTCTATTAAACCAAGTCAGCAAACACATTTACAAACATTCTTGGTGCGAAAGGCATGTCCCAGGACCATATTCATCCAGGCCCCTTCCTTAAGCATTTCCAGTGTTCAACTAAAGAGGGGGTTTGAAAATTGCTAAAAGAATAGGTCTTCAATGTTCTCGCCACCAAAAAGTGATCAGTTTGGGAGGTGAGAGATACGCTAAGTAGCTTGATTTAATCATTTCACAATATATACCTATATTAAAACATGTTGTATACTATAAATGTATATAACCTTTATTTGTCAATTGTACCTTAGGGGGGATTAATTAATTAATTAATCAATTTTAAAATGGGCCATTAGCACAAGCTTTCCAGGATGCTGTACACCAAACCCACCCCCTCCCCAGCCATGTGATGATGCCAGGGATATTCCAACCCTCCACCAGGCAGGAGCGCTGCCCACAGAGCTTCTGACTGAAAGCAGTCTGGGTGTGAACAGCCCATGTTTCTCTTACAAACATGCAAAAGAGGGAGCCTGGCCCCCTGAGGGGAGAAAAGCCAGCCTCTTAGGTTCTGTCGTAGTATAATTAGAACTTTTACTTGAGAGTCTCACACAGCTTGGTTTTTAAAAATAAACACTGCTGACACATCTCAAAAGGAAAAAGTATATTCAGAACTCTGATATTTTCAGGTAATAGCTCACTCCCCCTTCATTTTCCTTGGTGCTGGGTGACAAATTCTTTTTCTTTCATCTTTAGTTTCTTTCATTTTTAGGGGGGCTAGGTTCCTGAAAAATCACCTCAGGCTTACCTTTTCCAGCTTCTCCTGGAGCTCCTGTATTTTGAGCTGCTGCTCAGCATTGATCTATAATTCAAATCCCAGGAAATAAAGCAAAAGGCAAATCGGCATTAACATCTTGGTACATTTATTGCAGTCCTACTTTCCTGAGGTTTCTGTTTTGAGGGGTCTTTTTGTTTTGTTTTCCAGAACCTACTAATGGAGAGGAAGAATAGTGGCTTGTCAGAGAAGTCTTTGCATGCCCCAGTGCAAACCTCCATATTGGCTATTTCTCCAGGACCGGAAACATACAAATGACAAAAAGAGAATCAAAGTCACCCAGCGCCTTAAGATAATAAGAATTTTCATATATGTTCTACTAAGTGTCTAGGTTTATTTGTTACTGTGAGCAGGCATGACAAAAATGAGGTGTCTTTTTTCTCTTTCAGAACCACAGCTAAAGCTAAATATGATCACTCGCAAGTGGACCATCAAAATAAGCCTGGAAGAGAGTTCTCTATTCATTGAAAGAGTATTCTTAATCAATGACTGCCCACTGATAGTAACATAGAAAAAAAAATTATCTACCAAAAATAGCAAAACCAATCATGGAAAATATACCTTCTCCAGTTTGGAATATTCTCCTACTTCAGGCTTCCCTTGATCCTTAGCCTATAATTAAAAAGATACAACAAATTGGGAAATCTCAACCTAAAAGTCTTGCAGACAACACTACCTGTTGTACTTTCTTAGTCTCCGTGACCAAAATAATAATAATAATAAATAATAATTATAATGTTATCTTCTATAAATAATGAGCAGGGGGGTTTTCCAAGGTATCCCATTATTTCTGAAGCCCACACTCATATTAACCTAATATTCCCATTTTGCTTGCTAAGATCATCCATGATTTTACCCAAAAACACCCTCCTGGAGGGTTTCTGACTACCTTCAACAATTTGTGCTGACATTCTGTCGCTTTCCGCTTGAATTCTTCAGCAGCGAGCCGAGACTCTCTCAGCTCAGATTCGTACAGATCACTCCGTCTTCTTGCTGAGACAAGGTCCTCTTCCAACTGATTCATCATCAACCTCATTTCCTCTACTTGAGCCTGATACTCCTAAAGAGCAAGCAACGGAATAAAGGTGAACTTTAGAACTCCTAAAAGAAAAGAGTGGCAGTGAAGGTGGAAGAGTATCAACAGCAAAAGGAAGGCACATGTTGAAGAGAGATTGGCAAAGAATAGACCCACAGATGCAGAGAGAGGGTAAGAAGAAAGACAAACCCAGAGAGAGACCCTAAGTGGGCAAAAGGTGGGGTTGGGGAGGGTATGGGGAAAAGAGGAGGGAGAAAAAAATATGAAATCTTTAAATTGTTTTCAAGTAGAACATGTATCATTTGCAAAACCATTGGGAACACAGTGCCTATAATATCCTCTGTGCAGATAACACCACACTATATGCACAGAACCTTAAGGCATAATACCGGAGAGCCAAAAAGAATGTTCCTTAAACAACCAGGATAAACTGCTTACATGTAGCTTTCTTCCAAGGATAATCATTTATATAGATTTGTCCTTTAGAAGTCATGTGCTCCTAACACAATTAGATATGGTACTAGTTTTAAAATTAACCTTTCAGGCGGCACAAGAGAGTAATCGGAAATCTCAGTGGAAAGCATCCTGGAAGGTGAAAATCATCATGTCAGTTTCTCACCATTAATTTTTCTGGGCCCGAAACTGAATGATGAACTTAATATCACTAAGTCACCCTGAAATTTGGAAGAGTCATAAACACTGGCTCTGGTCAAAATTACTTGTGAGAAAAATTCCAAGGAAAGAATTGTCTTGTTCCATCAAGCAAACCCTTTAAAGTGATCCAAACAGCCCAATCTTTTCCAAAATGAATTTCTAAAATCAAAATAGAATATTCAAATCGAAGTTTTTCAAAATTGGATTTACCAGAAGAAATAGGTGATGGTTTTGAAAACTTTTGGACAAAGTATAAAAATATTCTTTCTTAGCAAAATCAAGGCTAACTATAAGGATTATGAATGAGCATTTATCTAATCCAAGGTGCCTGAGGCAGGGGGGTGGGAAATATGAAAATAAAATGAAATTGCATCAAGATTGTTTTTGACATTCACAATATACAGTAACATCTGTAAGATCATTCACCCAAGAAATAATTGGTAAGGTATCAATGGAGCAAGAATTTTTTTTAACCAATAAATCGCAATTTATGGTTTTTTTAATAACAGGGTATAAAATAAAACTTTCATTCCATGGTGACAGGCAATCCCCCAGTATGCACTACAGGGTAGGTGATGTTCTCATAAAAATCGGATCGTTTTCACACAAGCACACCTCTCCCTATGTTATCAGTAGAGGGAAAGAAAAATAACAAGCCCAAAGTAGAACATGGGTTTCATTTCATTCCCTCTCACCCAAAAGCATATTGTTATTGAAAGTCAGTCCTCGGGATCATGGGCATACAGGTTTTTCTGGGTGGTGCATACTAAGCAGATGATGCCAGATTATATAACCAAAGTTCTTTATAACCTCACAATTATCTGAACTCACAGAGTGGAACATGAGCCATTATGTGAAATGGTACATCCTTTACGTGGGGTTTTTCTAGGCCCCTCCATCAGGGCTACATTATGACTTTCATGGTTCTGAACATTAAGCTTTCTTTGTCCCTTTCCTTAATAAAAAAAAATATTTAAAATTAAATTTTACCATAGCATTCATATATATACAAAAATGTTATTATATGAAAACAGCATCTTTGACCTAAAAGCTCAAATTTTTTACTCTCATTAAGAAAAAAAAGAATTAAAACATTTTATGCGACCCTGAAAGTACAATGGTCCCTAGATACTATGCCTACTATGCCTAATGGAAAAGCCGGCCCCACCCACAGGCATAAATACCAAACTGTGAAGGAAGCGAAGAGCTGGAAGAAGGTCTTGGGCGTCTTTTATCCTCGAGCTCCCTTTTCTTTCTTAAATTTAGATCAGTGAGAAGGGAATATAATTTTGATGTTTTGTCAAGAGCAAGGACAGAGCCTCTGTTCCTTCCCAACATCTCTCTTTCATGAGCTATCAGTGCCCGAGAGGGAGCAAGACAAGAATCAGGCAACATCTCTTGTCAGCTCTCAGAGCTCCTGGGGCACCCAGCCTGCTACAGGCATCAAAACGAATTCTAACTCATTTGTTGATCCTCTATTATTATGCTGGATATTTCAAGAAAATTTTATAAACTCAGCAGCTAACCAAATTCCTGCTTCAAGAAAAATCTGAGAGAAGATCATCAGGTCTTTTTCCATGGGCAGCTGAGAGACAGCTGTCATATTTCACTATGGGATAAACTAAGTGGGGTCAGAATGGAAACCGTGGACAATTTTGAGACCCATCTAAAACAAGTCTTTTGAATGCAGCTTCAGAATTTATTGGGGAGAAAATATCAGGCCTGGTCCTATTCACTCAGAACCCACACACAAATGACTTGTGTGTTAGCCACAGTTTTGTTTACTTTCCTAGGGGGTGGTGGGTCCAAGGAAGAATAGGCAATTGCTAGTAATGGTGTATGAATCAAATTATTGCATGAGACTTTTAGGTGTTTTTATTTTAACCCAAATCCAAATACTCTATAGGGAATAGGTAGGTAGAAGCAAAATATTTGAATAAAATAAATAACTGTACAGAAAATTAGCTTTTGAGAGAAAGAGCAGGGAATAAATCTCAAATTTGGGAGGAATCAATACGCTTGCTGCAAGCCAAATTCTGGAAGTTTGCTCCAAGTCAAATTCTGGAATTTTGCTGCAAGCATTAAAAGTTTTCTTGGTTTGCAAACATCCTGCTCTCAAAAAACTTACCAAAAGTCATTTTAATAGATTCTTCTTCCAATGAGAAATAAAATCCAAAACCAAAAAGTTTTCTTCCCCCAATGGAACTTTTAGCAGTCATTAAATCTAAAATTTCACTTGTATGCCAACTGTGATATGAATCATAAAAGACATTTCTTTGAACTCAACCACCAGCATACACCTTTTCAAAATGTCCTGATAAGTCTATTTCTATGGAATTAATGGACCCCAGCTGCTCCCTCTGGTGGCCAAACACAGCTTTCATTTCCCCAGGATGTCACCAAAAGTAAATTTCCAAACAGTGAACTAATGGGAGAAAAAGAATCCTACCTCTTCAAACTTTGAGGATGAAAAAGTATGTTGATAAAAGAGACATGAGTCAACTGTGAAAGCAGATTTCTCAAACATATGGGTGGCCTTCAAAATCTCTAAGATTAGTATCGTTCAAAGACCCATTAATCCATTTGTAAAGTTCCCTATGTACATTTACTTACAATGTTTTTATCAAGCCGAAGGACATTAACCCATCATTTGAAAATATTCAGGTAATAAATATATTATGCCAATAAAACTCCTAAGACAGTAATTCTTTTTTTAAAGAGTAATAATGGATCAAGTTATTTGCAGGAGTTTCTTGCATTAGCACCAGCCAGATGGCTAAGTTTGTGCTACCCAGAGATAAAAATGTTCATTTCCATCAATGTTTCCATTAGATTTTCTGAAGTGAATGAGAGTTGCCTGGCAGCTGATAATTCAGCTCTCCAATTGCTCACTGCCATCTCTTCATTAAAGTTTCTATTTACAGTTTCTTCAAAAGACAGAAAAATCCATCCTAAAAAGGAAACAATGAGGCAATATAAAAGAAGCTATCTAAAAAGAAAACCCTTTTAGGAAGGGAAAAAAGAGTGGGCTTTTTAAAGGTCTCGATTCTCTTTTCTGAACACACAAGGGACAGCTTTCTGCACTCAGATATACCATGTTAATTCTAACTTGGCCTCAATAGCTCACACTTTTCTTTTAGAACATTTCTTTATACAAGTAAAACTATGAACTATCTTGGCTTCTCTCAAAAACTTAAAGTGCACCTAAAAAGCTATAAAAATATCGAATATTTTTATCATTTTTTTTTAACCATCTAAAGCAGGGGTTGGCAAACTTTTTCTGTAAAAAGCCAGATGTTAACAAGTTTCAGCTTTGTGGCCCATTCAGCCTCTGTAACAACTACTTGCCTCTGTCTTTATAGCATGAAAGCAGCCATGGCCAATATGTAAATGAGTATAGCTGTTTTCCAATAAAAATTTATTTATGGACATTGAAATTTGAGTTTCCTATAATATTCACGTCATGAAAAATTATTTTTATTTATTTATTTATTTTCCCAACCATTTAAAAATGTAAAAACCAGGCTGGCCAGTTAGCTCAGCTGGTTAGAGCATGGCATTATAACTCCAAACTCAAGGGTTTGGATTTCTGTACTGGCCAGCCACCAAAAATATAAAATAAGATAAAATTTAAAATAAAATTAAATAAAAATAAAAATAAATAAAAATGTAAAAACCATTCTTAGGTTTTCTGGTCACAGAAAATAGGTGGTAACCCAGATTTGCCCCACAGGCTGAAATTTGTCCACTCTTGCTCTAAACTTACATCTTTATTAAAAAGAGTAGACATTATAGGTTGTGGACTCCAAAAGGAGCTGGAATAAGCATTCTATGATTCATATAAATCATGGGAAATATAAAGTTTCCAAATGACCTACATACCTTTCTTTCTCCTCTTCTCCCCCGACCTTCTCTCTCTTTGTCTCTCAAACATGCCTCTCCTGACAGTAGAGGTCGGAATCAGCTGGGTTGCTGCTCCCAGCCAAGCAGTCCTACCTGTTCTTTGATTTCTTGGAGCTTCCGGCTCTGCTCTCTGATATCATGGAGAAGCTGCAGTGCTTTGTCATCCTCCTGGGACACCTCCATCCGTGCTTGCTCCAGACTTCGCTTTAAGCTCTGCAGAAAGCAAAAATTTTAATAGGGATGCCCTGTGAATCCTGCTCTTTTTGAAGAGATTCATTAAGAGAGCTGCAAGCTGCTTCACAGGCACCAGGATGGTTTCGGGTGACAGACCAAAGTTGACAACTTCCACTCGGTTGTTGATTCCAGTTTTCATCCTGTAAAACCCCTTGGTTCAAGAAACATCATCTCAAACTTTGTGACCTTACGGATCCAGTCTGAAACCATACCAACCTGTCTCTTGCCACCATTTCCCTGTCCTAGCAGATACTTACTTGTACATTCAGGACTAACAACTAATAAGATCCCTTAGCTGTTACAACCACCATTTGAATGGCTATTAAGTCTTTTCTATAATATCAGCTATTTGAGGAATCTCAAAGTAGAAATGACTTCATCCTCTGCCCAGTTGTCATTTAAAATTCCAAGTAGACTATTTCCACCTCCTGGCTTATTTTTCCTGGACACCTTTCATCCATAAGGTTCCCTCAATGCTTCAATGGCACTGAAATATATATTTGAAATACATAGCTGAATAACTTCACCCACCACTGAAAGGCAGCCAAGTCTGGAATGGAAACATAGCAGTTATTCTTAATCAGCCACGTTCTATAGATTTCCTCTCCCTTGTGAAAAAAACTTTAAAAATGTGTGATTCAACTTCTTAAGCTGTTTCATTGGGCACATTAAAAAACACCTGAATGAAAAATTTAATGAGACAATGGAGAAGACAGTCTACTCTTGTGAAGGAAAGAAAAAACAAAAGTCACATGGTAAATAATGACATAGGGCCTGGGTTTTAAAGGCTGTTTTCTTGTCGCTACACTGGTTCTACACACTGGAAAATTGATTTGGGGCAGATTCAAAATACGTTTTCTTGTACATATTTGGGACTTTGGTTCCCAAGACTGATCATGTTGGACACAATGTAGACCAGAGAGGTTGAGATGGGAGATGTTAGGAGCCTCTGAAACTTGCTGCAATGGTGGCCTACTCCCATTCCCAGGCTCCATGGCACCTGCAGTCTACCTGGACTTTCTGCTATAAATGAGTGCAACCTCATTTCTCGGAGACCTCATGTCTGGCTCACACTATTCTCCAAATCACAGATCTTGCTTATGTCCTCTCCCTCTCTCTACTCTCTGCCATTGGCTGTGATGTGCCTCATGAAGCTGTCATGAAACAGGATGAGACACACACAACAAGAAGTGCCACCTCCAAGGGAAGGGGGCTTTGGGGAAGGCTCACACTGCATTCTGTGATGTAGGTAGCAAGGTCCTGCTCCAGGAGGGATCTCTGAGTCTCAGAGGCCTTCAGCTCCACCTCCTTCTGACTAAGCACAGCCTCCACCTCTGACACTCTCCGATGTAACCGGGTCATTTCCTGCTCCATCTGAAATAAACACATTGACAGGTTAAAAAGGCCCATGGAGGTTCGTTAGGAGCAATCAAACCTCAAGTAGCCTCCAAAACCACCTGGTGGTCTGGGCTATCGCTAATTCACCAAAAGTTGGAATGGAAATACCATTTTTTCTTCGCCCAGGAGCGCACAGTTCTTCGTAAGGACAGTCACCAAATGCTAAGTCACTCCTCTCATTCAAGTCGCCCGGTTCACACTTGATCACTTCTCTAACCCAGTTAGCAAGGAGGCTGCAATCATTTTTCACCTGTTTGCTTTTTTTTTTTTTTTTTTTAAGTTTTGGTTTTGTTTTTGCAGACGTCACTTTAATTTTATCCCAAATCCATCTTGATCCCCCCCATCTCCTTGCAAAGATATAGAGGACAAATCCAGGACAGGGCAAGGAGATACTTATTCGTCTGCACTCTTAGGCGTCCCAAGCAAGCAGTGGCTTTTATTAGTTTCCCGAGAGTTGCCTCCGGGCAGGAACAGTGAGTGTTAAGAGACGATCAGCATAATCAATACAGTGGCTGCAGTGACATAAGCAGGAGTTTTAAAAGACTAGGAAGAGAGACGTCGCATCACTCCAAGCAGATGGGATGCATCTCAGCCACAGGTGAGGACCCACACCACCTGCTGGAAGAAGCAGACAGCTGGCTGGGTCATGCTGAGAAATGGGCCGTTTTAAATCCAGGGCCTCCTCTGGTTAGGATTTAAATGATTGACGGCAACGTCAAGGCCCGAATTCATCTCCCTCTGAGCTGCTGGAGGCGTGACGTCAGCGAGGGAGAGGGTGCCTCGCTGTCTATGGATCAGGCAGCTCAGCACCTGCAGCGGCCCTGGGCGGATCCCTTGGCATATATTGACGGAAGGATCCTGGAGCAAGGAGGGAGGCCAGCAGCGGAAATAAATACCTTGTGACACTTGTCCTGAGAGTCTTGCAGCTCTTTGCTTTTGATAAGAAGTTTCTTTTCCATGGAGCTAGTCTTGGCAGGGGAGTCCAGACCCAACACAACAGACCTAGATAAAGGAAAACCAATGTCAAGGTGGCCGGCAGGAGGGCCTGAGAAGCTACATTCAGAAACTGCAGCAGAGATGACAGATCTGCCAGCATCTATGGCCACCAGCAAAGCTGGCTCACGCAGCTTCTCATGACATCAAGGCCATGAGGCAGGGAGGTGGGAGGAAGCAAGGACTCTGGAAGCAGGTGGACTTGGGTGTAAAACTCAGTTGCCAGAGACTTGAGGCAATGATTCAACCTCTCTGGGTCTTAGTCTACATATCTCTAAAGAGGAATGGTAAGAAAAGTACCCACCACACAGGAGCGTGTGAGCATTAAATGCATAGCATCATGCCTGACACGGCTTTGTTCACTTACTCACTCAACAGACACTCCTGTGTACCCACTCTGTTCCAGAAACTGTTACAGGCACTGGCATAGAATGGTAAACAAGACAGACTAGGTCCCTGCCTTCCCGGAACTAACATTCTTTAGAGGGCAGACAGAAGGCATCAGGCAGACACATAAACAAAAAGGTTACAGATAATGATAACTGCAGTGAAAGAAGAAAACGGGATGACATATGATAGAGGAAATGGGGGTGGGGGCTTGTTTTAAGCAAGGATGATCAGAGAGAACTTCTTGGAGGAAGTGACATTTGGCCTGAGACCTGAAGGATAACAAGGGGCTTGCCATCTAAAGCTCTGGAAGGAAACAAGAGGGGACAACAGATGCAAAGGCCCTGAGGCAGGACAGAGCTGACACAGCAAATGTACAATAAATGTTGTTAGTTACAATACTGATCAAAGCATTGTTTATTCCATCCCTGAGTTGGCCAGTTTGATTCTGTTTCATTTTATAAAAACAGCTAATGCTTAGGATGATAGGCCAAATAATGCCCAGCCCCTCCCCAAAGATACTCATGTCCTAATCCCTGGAAGCCATGAGTATATTACCACACATAGCAAAAGGGACTTTGCGGGCATGATTAAGCTAAGGATCTTGAGATGGGGAGATTATCATGGATTATCTGGGTGAGTCCAGTGTAATCACAGGGTCCTAAAAAGATGGAAACAGGATGGGAGGAGATGTGATAATGGAAGCAGGGCTCAGAGTCAAGGAGGTTTGATGATATGACACTGATGGCTTTGAGCCAAGAGATGCAGGCATCCTCTAAAAGCTAGAAGAGGCAAGGAAACAGATTCTCCACTAGAGCCTCTAGAATGCAGCCTTGTCTATACTGATTTCAGCCCAGTAAAACCCATCTCAGACTTCTGACCTCCAGAACCATAAAATAATAATAAATTTGTGTTGCTTTAAACCACTAAGTTTGTGGTAATTTGTTACAGCAGTGACAGGAAACTCATGCATTCATTGAGCACTGGCTACATATCTGCTTCTGTTCATGTTTTAACTCTTTACTCCCAATACAACTTACCATCCTTATTTTAGAGAAGAGGAAATTGAGGGGAGAGAGGTTTACTTAAGCTGCCAGTTGATAAACGGTTGCTGTTGTTCTCAACAGGGAGTTGGGGTAGAGATCGCTTGATGCACCTGATATAACTCTGAGGAGAATATCACAAAAATAACATAGCATGGCCTTCTAAGAGTAGTCTAGAAGGATGCGCTCCCCACAGAAAGGACATACTTATCCACATATGTGTGTACAACTCACACACTGTGTTAGAGATCGCTTGATGCACCTGATATAACTCTGAGGAGAATATCACAAAAATAACATAGCATTGCCTTCTAAGAGTAGTCTAGAAGGATGCGCTCCCCACAGAAAGGACATACTTATCCACATATGTGTGTACAACTCACACACTGTGTGGATATTAAAGTTCTCATCTAAGACAGCTTCCTTCAGTAGTTGGTACCTAGGGTATGAACACTGAGATCAGTGAAGTGAGAGCTGGGTCAACAGCTGGCAAAGGTTCTTAAGCATGGAAGGATGTGGCAGAGCCCACCACCACCCTACTGTCCCATCTTGGTTGCCCTGGTAACGAGGTTGCAGGAGCTGGTTGTCTGAGCACTCAGGTCTTCCCAGCAGGTGAAAGTTCTGCTTTCTGCTGCCCCAAACTACTTCCCTGCCTAAAAGTGGTCAGTTCCCTGCAGCAAATGCAAAACACCTCTTTACCCGCAGCGCCCAGCCCAGTAACAAGGGCTGGCATGATAGCATTGGCTTGCTGTACCCCAGTGACAGCTCTCTACACTCACACGATAGGTCAGGCAAGGGAGTTAGCACCCAGAATCATGCTGCTCTGCTCAAAATCTGACACCGCCGCTTACCAGCTGTGTGTCTTCTCTGAACCTCAGTTTCCTCGTATGTAAAATGGGGATAAATCTCAACCTACTGCAAAGAATTCTTGTAAGGATTAAACGAGATAATGTGTGTAAAGCCCTGAGCACAGTGCCTGGCACACAGCAAGGTCTCAATAAATGTCAACCATTTCTATTATTGTTGATTTTATCATTACTACCCATGCAACTTCATAAACAGCACAGGCCTATAACAGTTGCTTGCAATGGTAAAACTCAGGGGGCTGAATTTGCTCTGTGCTATTATTCACATTAAAACAAATGTTGATTATTCATAGAAATGGGCAACAGGGATTGAAATCCAGAAATAAATCTTTTTTAAAAATCTCACTTTGGACTAGAAATTTTAAGCCAGTTCTACACCCCTCACCAGCCTGTTTCCTACCTAAATCTAGCCAACACACACTTTCTTTTCCTTCTAAATATGAGATGAAATGGATTGCTTGGCATGGCCTTGAGTTTCTACTGATACCTCCTTTATTCCTGATTGCAATTTTGTGGGTGGGCTAAAGAAAACCCAGACCACCAAAGGAGGGAGGGATGATCCACAGACTGGATCCCTGGTCCTTCAGTAATCCAGAGTTGCCCACATGTCACTAAGTCACAGGCATAACATGCATCAAGGATGACAACACATACCACAGCTCTTCGTGCCTGAGCACAAAACTGGCACCGATTGCAAAGAATGACATGGGTGCATGATGGTGGGGTGGGATGTGGCTTGAAAAACCTAAGGACACATGGAGAGCAACCTCCACTGGGGCTTCATGATTAAGGTGCTCTGCGGTGGGTAAAAAACAAATTGCCTGTTTACCAAAAAAAAAAAAAAAAAAAAAAAAAAAAAGCATTTCCAGGGCACTCATTAATAGGGCCCAGAATCAAGGAGATGCAGCCCCCATCCACCAGCACTAACAGGAGACAATGCAACAGCCCTATTTTGATGCTTGACAAATGTTCACCGTTTAGAAGTTCTAAGTACGGCAATTAGGAGATCTTCAAAATAAAAGTGCTAAAGAAATCATTTTTTTAGAATAAATAAAAATCACATCTAAAAACAGCTATGATACAAATGCTGTGACTAAACTGGGCTTGGAGCAATAATCCCATAAACAATTATGGGATTGGTGGACAAGGCTGGAAGATAGAGGGGAAAGGTCATCACAGCTTTCTGTAACTTCCCTGGGACTCATCCCAGCTGCACATCGGAATCATCTGGAGAGCTTTTAAAAAAATACAAAAGTGCACGGTCCACCCAGATCGATTAAATCAGAAACAGACAGACTGGGAGTGAGGCCCTGGGACCACTATTTTCATTAAGCTCCTGAGTGACTGTAATGTACAGACAGGATTGAGGACCATGGTGCTGGTTAGAAGAAAGTGCTTGTGATTTAGGATGTAGGCATTTACAACTCATAGTACGCCCATACCCAGTATCTAGTTCCATGTGCCATTTGGCCAGACCATTAGGTACTGGTGCCTTTTGGTCACTCTATCAGTGGGAACCCAATTTTGAAGTTAATCATGGTGAGTTATGAATTTCAAGATAATGTACTGGTATATCAGATAATGATTAAAGACTATCCCCCCCAATTTTAATAAGTCAATTAAAATACATTATTTCCATGAATTCCTATTAAAGAAATATAATAAAGACAGGTATGACTCACCTTAAAATATTTATATTCTATTTATTTATCATGTAGGCACAGGGCAATTCAATCTCTAGCACCAATAGTCGGCTCTCACTATGTATTTCTTTAGTAAATAGATTCCCCCAAGAGTTATTCTGAAATATCCCAATCTATTTTCTTTTTCTAGGACTTTCATTAGATACCCTTTGACTTTCAAAGCAACAGCAAATTATTGATGATAATTGCATTATTCTAGAATTAACCATAATGCAAATATAGATTGAGAGGTTTGATCTAAGGCTGCTCTCACAGCTACCAAATTATTATCAAATATAGCCTTGTCCTCTTCAAGCAGCAATTCTGCTGGTCTAAAATCATCCTAAAAAGTACCATTTCATCAAGCATGGTTTTATTTAAAGAGCTGATATTATCACTGCTCTAAGGAAAGTTTGCAAAGTCCTGTAATTGTTTAGAACTCTAAAGCTACGGGAGATGGGATACAGAATTACAGTAAGGAAACTATTTAATTTTGAAGTTCCGTTGACCCTGGAATGGGACAGAGTCTTCCCAGATGTTTCCTTTGTTCTCAGAATTCTCAAACTTCAACATTTTTTTTGGCCATCTTCTTTGGGTGTGAGCGTGCGTATGAGTGTGAGTGTGTCTGAGTGTGTGTGTGTGAGAGAGAGAGAGAATATAAAAGGGAGAATGTAAAAGTCTGTGGTCCCCATGAGATGTACCTGTAGACTAGAAGTTCCTACCCAGGGGCAATCTTGCCCCACCCTCCATCCCCCACCAGGGACATTTGGCAACATCTAGAGACTTTTCTTTATTTTCATGGCTGGATGTGGGGGTGCTATTAACATCTAGTGGGTGGAAGCCAGAGATGCTACTCGACACCCTACAATCCATAAGACAGTCCCCCTACAACAAGAATTATACAGCCCAAAAAAGTCAGTAGTGCCAAGTTGAGAAACCCCAATGTTGAGGTTATAAAGTAAAACAAGCCACAATTCCTGTCCTCAAGGTAGTAACAATCTAGGAAACAGAATTAATGCCACTACCTTTAT